TAGCCCGGTTTTCATATGTCATAAGCCATCTAGTCCAGTGGCTGGAAGGAGATCTGAGTATTCATCGGGCTGTTTGGTAAGCTTTTCCGAGATACGGGGGTTTAGTCTTTTTTGGGGTGGTTTCTGTAGTTTTACTGTACCATTGGGATTTATGACCTGTAAGTAACGAGACTTAGTTGTTGCTACATGGGTCAATTCCAATTCTTTAGGGAATAGTAAGGCCACAAACTTCAAAAATGGCATCACGTTCATCCTACGTATTCTAGTAAGAAACAGAATATTCTTAATAATATTTCAAATTCATATACCCAGCTTCTCATATCTAATTGAAATTTTCGTAATCAGAAAAGTCATCTAAACAACTGTTTAGAATTGCTGTTTCATCGTCATTGCTGACAAGAATGTTCCAAATATTTTTCTGGTAAGCTTCCAAATTCCAACAAACGGTTATACCCTCATCCAAGCCGTAAAGGCAAGGGTTATCGTGCTGCATGATAGGAGTTGTTTCTTGTCTCCAAATTCTAGCCACCAGGGCCGTCGCAAGGAGGGGGGGGGGGGCAAGGATGTGACAAAACTCTTGAGTACAACAGCTAGCGACAGTCCTGCTAGCCACGAAGTATCGCGTGCTTGACAAAAGTTTTTTGGCATGGCGCATTGAGGAAGGAGTGATAAATTTGTAACCTCCTCATTCCTAGCAAAACTTTTCGAGAAGATTTTTCGGGAAGCATCATCTATGAGGTGTGATGTCTGTCACCAAACATGCGACAAGCAACTTCATTAGTGATGCAACAACATTTTCTTGGACATCAGCTGACAAACCAAGCTCTGCAAATTTAGACAAGAACTCCTGAGTACATTTCATAAGTTCCATAATTATTTCCACTGTAAGAATGCAAGCCAAGATGAGTTGCCTCTTGTGAAGAAAGATCACATGAAAGTTATGCTAAGATCTTTGGATTCTTACCTGCCACTGTCTATGTAGACTGCAAGGCTTTGAACTTAATTGGGGAAAAGGTTTATAGGGATATCTATCTTCCAAGAGCACGACGAATCTATTTAGTACTGCCACTGTTTTTGCCTTGTAGGTACTCGGTGCAGCAGAAAGCATACCCTTTTGTTTGCTTCCTCGTGGTTGGTTTGAAAAGCTACGAACGGTGGTAGTTCTCCTCTTCGAAATCTGGTGCAGCAGGTTTGGAGGGGAGATTCAGATTCTGCAACAACCAATAGCTACTTTTCTGCCTCCCAAACCTCGTCAACTGACTCAAAGAATCGCTTTTTTTTCCATTGCATAGGAACCAATAGTTTGTGAGATGCACTTGCTTGTTTGCTTTACATGATGAGAATGCCTGCACAACTGAAATAGGCTGCTTCTTCTGTTGATTGCTCCTGCAAACCGGCACTTTATGCAAAAGGCTTCCAGTACACAAATCATTCCTGCTTTATTCAAAGGACAATCTTGCAATCTTTTTGGCCTTTTCATTTTTATTTTTTTGCTTTAAAATGGATTAATTAAAGTTCTGGTAGCAAGATCTATGAACAAAGTGCTCTCCTAGGGTAACTGTTCTGGAATTCCATTAATTTGTTTTTCATGATTATGGGGTCCTAAGTATTTGACTCTTGCATATCTTCTATTCAATGTCAGGGGGTAAAGTTGTTGCTTACAAATTCCAAATGCCCATAGTGAAATATTCTCCTTTCTTTTCTACTTTCTTTCTGCCATATTTACATGATTCTTTCACAACCCGAGAAAGATATGAAAGAGAATTGTCGTCTACGGTTTGTAATTAGCATCAACTAAGATATTTTATGATTTTCAAATTATAGTCTTGAATTAATAATATTGATGAAAGGCTAACGAGAAGAATAATTTCTGAAGAACAGAACCTTACTTTTAAAATCTCCATAAAATCTTCCAATCAATGTTAATCAATGTGAAATATAAACAAAAAAGAGTCTAGCAATATTCCAATCAACGTAGTATGCCAAGATTTCACGTGGCAGCACATGGGAACACTGTCAAGCGAATGAAGCCAACAAGCTACCCTTTCCTGTGGAGCAGAGGATAATTCCATTCGGATTTTGCATATCATTAGGACCATTTGAAGTATCTTGAGTAACAGCAGAAACAACTACAGCATGGCCTTTTGCACTAAAGATTTCGCACAATTTATGCACGTGATAACCTGATGAAATTACAGCAAACGTAAACTATAGGCTTTTGTGTAAGCTTGCCCTCTCCCAATAATCAGATTGGCTTATATGATAGAAAAGAATTTAATTTTGGTAGGTTTTATTGATATATGCTTGTTTTTAGCACTTTTTGTGCCTTGTAAATGATGTATATATTTTACGAAAGACACCAACCTAAAATTCTCAAACCTCCTATATCTCGGTAAAGCCCCCCAAACTGCCTGATCAACACTCAGGTTCGAAATCTACACCAAAAATAACCTTGGAAAAGGTGGATCTGATAAAGTTCACTTCTAGGTGATAATGCTTCCACTCCAACCACATGATTAATCGCAGACTATCATAGACCACCGTGAAGCTGCATCGGGAATCATCGCCGATAAATTTCGATATTTGAAAACCAGCCTTAAGTAAATGAACTTTTTGGTGAATATTGGCAATTGGAAACAGTACAAACATCATTTCTGTGCAAAAGAATCTTCGCCACTATCTGTGTACCTCTACAATCTGGTTTACACAGTACAACCTTCTCGGAGCTTTACTGTTTGTAAGGAATAGATGTGTTTAGGATTTTTTTGAAGATTGCTACTTCAATGCGTATTTTAAGAAAGACGTGACTACATGTGTAGGGCAACATTACAAAGAAATACTGATAAACAACCACTAAATTGATATGGCTATCATGGGAAAATATATTGAATGGAATTGAAGAAGGGCTTATCACGAGATTTGCGGCGCTAAACAAATATCAGTTATAAAAGGAGCTTCTGCTTCTCTGTTTTGAAGAGTCTAAGAAGAAACGACTGGGTATTTTCACTGAACATGCACTGGGCAAATGTCCAGCCTAAATGTTGCGTCGTTTTGCCACATTGTCTAGTCTTGTTCAGTGATGTTAAGTGTTGTTAAGTGTTGTCCAGTCGATTTTTAAGGCAGTTAAAAATGTTCAGTGGACCGAATTTAATTTCGTTTGTTCATAGATGTTGTAGAGCAATGTTTAGTCGTTTTGCCACTCTACTGAACATTACCCAGTTTGCGCACGCGCAATTGATGTAATTGATTGGATTTAGCGTCAATTTATTCCCCATATCTTCAACAAACTTCTTCGATAATACACTCTAATTCATACGATGATGCGGTTAGGGCTATGAAACGTGTATTTCAAAGGTAACGAGACGCCCTTTGCCAGTTTCCCGCGCAGTTTAAATCAACAGGGAAAATGTTCACTGGACAATGTTCAGTCGTTTGGCCACTACCAATATTATCTTGATGTCCATACTCTGAACAAGTGAGCAATGTCCAGTGCGTGACCAGTATACTCAATGATGAAGTGATAGAAAGATTTTCAAAGATGTCGAGAGAGCTTCTAGGCTTCTGACTTATAATTTTAATGCTAACCAAATAGATTTGAGAGCATACATCGAACCAATTACACGAAGATGGTACCACAGAATGACTATTGTTGTCTTTGTACATTTATTGACCAGCACATCAAATACGTTGATCGTGGTAAAGGAGAATAGTACAAAGAACTCCTGCGACTGACAGAATCATAATTTTTATTCCTGGCAGTTTATTTATCCTCATTCAAAAGGGATTGAAGCCATTTCATGACATAACTCTACAAAGATCATTTGGGAAGGCAACAGTAACCTTAACAAATGCTGTCTGTCTTTACCTATCAAAATCTATGGTAATATTTCCAATAGCATCTTAAGCCATTCTAAAACGTATTGCCACAAATAAATTTCTGGAAATACCCAAAAGCTTGATTTGACTTTTAGAGTCCTTTCTTGACACAATGCCAGGGCCCTAATTTTTCAGCCAGTCCGCCCCTGTCTCTTTCCCAACGGGACTCTGACCCCGTTTACACGAGAATGGATCCGAACAGGATCGGATCCAAAAGAGTACGGATAGGCCTTGCGTTTACACGGACACTGGTGGATCCGTATACTTTTGGATCCGCTATCCGAACACTTTTGGGATCGCTTTCAGAGGTGATCCCGTATGGATCCGATCTGGATCGGATCCCGTGTAAACAGATGGATCTGGTCCAGATCGGATTCGTCTCCCTTACCTTTCGAAAGTGAGATATTTTTCAATTCAAGGCAGTTTGAATATGTAATCCGTGGCTTTTGGCGCCAGAAAACCGAACATCAAGTTGATAGACTACTGTATTGAAGAATTATTACGAAACTTTGACAATATGTCGTCGTACATTGTCCTCATATTTTCCCAATCCTGCCCTTCTGCAAGCTTCGCAGTTTTGTAATTCAATACTACTTTTAGAAGAAGCGCAGTTTTTTCTTCAGTCCACGAAAACTGACCCTCTGTAACGTTACTTCCCTCCATGTTCAGGTCGAACTGTGTTTTAATCACGCAAGAAGTTCTGAATACGTCATATGAGCGCCACTATTATAAAAGCGCATGCGCGTAACCAATTGAATTCATCTGGATCCGTTCCCGTGTAAACGCAAATGGTTCTGGATCGGATCCCGTGTAAACCCATTGCCATTTCAGGGATCGGATCCAAAAACATCCGGATCCGCCAATATTCCTGTGTCCTTCGGTGAACTTTGCTTCCATTCAGTAAACATTTTTTTTGATAGTCAGTAGCAATCAAATAACGCCAAGATGAAGGCTGGAACGTAAGTTAGGTTAAAGTTTTAAGTTAATGATTTGCCAAGAAAAGAATTTATTGACGCGTCAAAAATTCTTGAATGAAGTGCATCTTAGAAGAACCGTTTGCAAGAAATTTGTACTGTTGTTGAAAACCGCTGATGAAACGACCGGCCTGGGAACGTGTTTCTTTCATAGTTTCCGCCACAGTCTCCGCCTCCCTAGTGAAGGGTTGATGTATATAATGGCGCCTTCCAAACTAAGGTACAAGTGCCAGTGGTGATTATCAGTGAGCATCCATGACATCGTGTGTCGAAAGCTGGATGTTTCATGATTAAAAGAATACATGATATCTTTGAAGGAATCTTATGGTAATCTTCGTGAATATGACCTCAGGTAATAATTTAAATACAGATCCTAGACATCTTGGAACTGCTCTTGTCCTATTGATAGGCATTTCCTGGTATTTAGGCCTAATTTGACCAATGCATTTTTATATTTCTTTAGTTACGGAAGATGCACCAGTGAAATGGTGTTTTTCGCAAGTGAAAGGCACTGTCGAGGAAGATATTACCGAAGGTTTGTTCATTTAGCATCAATATTTCTGTTTTTCCAGCCATCTTCTTTCCTGCAGGGGCGCGACTCCAAATATGGGATTTCTCAAGGGGCAATAAAGTTACGAGTGTTACGGAGCCATTTATTGCACATTGCCCATATTGTTTTCTACTATTTGTGCGCCAAAAGGCGAGAGTGGCTCACTTTGCAACGCAGACCTCAGTGTGCCTAAGATGATAACTTAGTCTAGGGTCTGCAGAAAGAGATGCAGCATTGACATATTTGCTGATTAATAAAGACTGGCATATTTTCCCCTTCATTTGGGGAAATTTAGAAAAACCCACCTACACCCACTGCAGCCACTACAGTACAATATATTACTTTACTAAAAGACTGCATCAGGTTCCTCTCGTGCAAGACACCCATCCATAGTTAAATGTTCTCTTTTCAGTTTTCACAAACTTCATTACGTGTGCAGTGTTTGAGCACATTTTTGCTTAAATTATTTGTTTTTGCAGTGTTAAGAACTGGTTTATCCTCTTTGTGAATTCTTTCTGACTGCCAAAGAGTGCCAAAGAAACTTAAAGCAATTGGAATACACTTTTGTGTAGACTGAAGTGTATAGGCTTATTCTGCAGAAATTTCTTGCACCCTTCCAACTCAATATATTATGTAGAATATACTAAGTATCAAAAGTGATTACTTTGTAGCCTCTATGGTTGAAATCTCTATCAGAACTTGAAATCCTATAAATTTTTTCATAGCATAAAAAAGAAAATTTTCTGCATGCAATATAATTATCTTGGCCTTTACAGCTGACCTAATATCAACTGTTGAGTTTAACCACAATGGTGAATTATTGGCAACTGGTGATAAAGGAGGAAGGATTGTTATTTTTCAGAAGGATGGTGCTGTAAGTTATGACATTTTTTGTTGTTCTGCAGTTCCCCGCAAAATATTTCAGATGCAGTTCCCCGCAATCCCTCTTACCACCAAGCATGGTGGCAGTCTTCATGAAACCCTTTAAAATGTTAGTATTCTGGTCCCCACTTTCAATTGTGTCTCATCAAGACGGATAAGAAAACGGTTTTGAAAACAGTGCAATTTGAAAATGGCACAACATGTTTCAGTGCAAACGCTTGAAACAAAACAATTCTATACCAGATTTCCCGCTCTTTGAATCCAGAGTGCTATCATTCTGTTTCAAAGTGTAACCCTTGAGAATTTCATGCCTTTTTCACAACCTGTCCTTTTCCAAATTTTTCTGATTTCATATGAAAACGATACAACATTGAATAATTTGTGGAAAAACGGGCCATATTGCCTAAGCCCTTCTGGGGAGGGTTGTTTAGCATTGCATTGTGCTCCACTTATTTTTAACCTTGCCAATGGTAGGAGCTGTATACTGAAATCACTGTTGTAAAACCAATAGCCTACAGAAAGCAAGCTTTCCAGCATGGGTCTTCAGCAGATTCTTTCACATAAAAACTGCAGCTCCTTAGAATGATGTATGCCTGATGATCTGATATTTTGCACAAAGTCTTTGTTACATATTGCTTATTGCCATGGGCCTAAATAGTGTAGCCTAAAATGTCATTGTTGCCCCATTTCAGGAATATGGCGAGCTCCTTTGTGACCCCTTAATTTTTCTTGCTTAAGACTCAAAATTTATGAGTGTAGATCAGAAGACATACTGCAAAAATCTTGTCTAAACTGGATACCTTTTGTTTAAAAATTCAGCTTAATTCACCATTATAAAATTGATATTTAAGAAACATTTGCATGCTAACACAGGTCTATGCTAAAAAATGTGACTTAGTTTTTACAAGCACTGGGCTAGAAGATAATTGCAAATTGGTGTATAATGATGGTTTCTGCAACCTTGGATGTATAAATGAAATTTTCCAAACTACTACAAGCCCTGATGCTAAGGTCTGTGTTTGATTGCATTCAAATGTTCTCACAACAGCTTATCAAAATGATTGGTGAACCAGTAAAGATAAAGAGCAGTACAATGAGCAGTACAATGTTTTGGAAGATTAAGTTGATTGGCATTAAAAATTCAAGAAAGAATAACTGAAATACGCTTCCTTTCTATTAGAAATGAAGATCAACTTGGAGTACTCCAGTTTATTAATGGTATAGGAAATTCCAATACTGATTCTTTCTTAGGAGTTTGTTAATCGGAAAAAGCACAGAAGAGTGAAAAATAACTTGATATAAATCGGCGAATAACATATGCATAAACCTCAAAGCATAAATGGAAGGAAAAATGCAGATTGAAAGTAGCGAGAGAGTTCTGAAAGGGTGAATGAATGGTTACATGTTTTTGACAAATCCCAAACGCTCACCTTGAGTCAAAGAGCAAAAATGAATCATTTCTGAAACTTTTTAAATTTTTTCCCGATTGCCATTTTCTTGTTTCTTATAGCGTGTTTCTTATAAAAAATGAGTGTATTCGTAACACAAATTTCATACTTGAAAATGTTGTCTAACAATTCTCATTCTTGCTATTCTACTCTATCTGTTTTTCCTTTCCTGCACAACCATTTACTATTCCATTGCTAGTTTTAACAGGTAATACTCTAGTTTGTTAACACTTGATGTCAAACGAAACAGAAATTTCCTTTTTATAGCGATATTTTAAAAACCATATATCTATTTGACACAAAGTTATTTATGAATACCCTGATGTATAGCGATAGGTAGTTAAAACATTAGGGAGTGAGACAAAACAGATTCAATGAGAGCAATGTTATAAACAACTGCATGGGCAGAAAAAAGCCCTTGCAAAATTTTTTTGTGTGGGGTTTGTGTGGGCACGGGCTAGAAAGACCTGTGTGGGGCGAGTGTGATCGCACGCCTTTCCCGGGAAGGCTTGTTGTTTGGTCAATTTTGACAAGATCTTGAATGCACCAACAGCCCCACATCTCAGGAACAGGTGTGCAAAAATTACCCAAAACTGCCAGGCAGGCCAGAACTATCAAATTTCCAGGATTTGAATTGATTTCCGCTAGTCTTTAGGTGCACCCTCAATGATGCCATGTCTGCATGATGAGTGCTTCATTGCCATGCTCTGCATATTGGACTCATATTGTCCATAATAGTTTTATACCAAATTTTCTGGAAGGCAAAAGAACTACTGTAATTCCTTGGTGTGGGCTTATTTGAAGCTGGGGACATATTTAGCAGCAACCAAAATATTTACAGGGTAAGTTCTCTTCCTCTTTTTGAGGCTGATCAGTAATGCAGATATATTGGGATAAACCTATTGCTGTCATGGCAATGGGGGCTTATTCAAGGGCAGAAGCTTATGTCACAAAAATTACTTTAGAATGGGGCCTTATTCGAAGGTGGGGATTTGTTCAAGGACTTTAGTTGCAAAGTTTTTTTGCTGCAAATTTGGCTTAATGATTAAGTATGGTTTTCTTCAACCCTTACCCTTACCTGGAACTTTATACTTGTCGACATGGCCCTCCACTAGAGCATAGTACTGTGTTGCCAAAGCTTCAGAAAGATTTTGAATTGCTGAATGTCTGTAAGAGCACTGAAGCTCCATTATATAACCTAAAAATTAACGAAAAACTGTTTTCTATTGCTTATTGAAGTTATGTACTATAGAATGTAATTGTAGAAAAATTAATGTTGAAACACAAACGATGTTTAGAAATTGAGCAATAGCAAGAATGAAGAACATCAAGACTCAACAATTTAATTTTCACAAAATATTTAAATATTTGTTGGTGTTAGAACATTTGTCTGATCACATTAAGTGTAAAAACTTACACCAAAGCATATATATTTCTACATATATCGCATAAAGGACTTTATGACAGACCTGTAAACAGTAATATTCACTTGTGTTTATGCTATACAGACATGAACAAATTGTATCCTTGTCTATGAACATTAAGCAGGAACAATACAAATAATCGATTGAAATTATATAATTGATATAAACAAAGAAGTTCAAGCAAAAGTGCCAGCTACTAATGTACTTTAAAATATGTTCAGGCATAGAACCTAGAAAACAAATGGCAAATAAATACAGTCCTGGTAATATGGAACTTATCTGCATGAAGGTAATTGCAGGCCTTCTCCAATAGTTAAAGCAAAAAAGAGGTACTCAAAAGCTGAATCTGTTTAAAAACCTTCAAAGAGAGGATATGTGATCAGATAAAAATGGAGTAATAAAACAACTTCCCCCAGAAACCGTATCAAGATAAATCATACAAAAGAAGTTAGAAAAGTACTTTGAAAATAATTAACAAGAAATTAAATTAAGTAGACAAACTTAAATTAACTGATTTTGCATATTATTTAACTGAAGGACAGAAGAGACAAATCTTTTATGGACTACTGTTAAAAGCTCTGTGCAAGCTGGGCTGTTTTTCCTAACTTGCTACCTGATATCAGGGGCAGCAGCCTATGTGCAGAGTGCATCTTTGGCAAGTTCAGCATACTTGAATGTGTGTTTTAATGTTGATAACAACAAAATGAAAACCTTATGTCATTTCCTTTTACAAAGCAATTGGTAACATATTTGTTATCCGGGTGTCAACTCTTTAAATGTTTTGAAGGATCACACAACAGGCTGTCAGTTTGCACGGCTATCAGTTTGCTACTGCTACATCACTGCGTCACATATTTAGATTCTGCCAACATGTCTTCCTTACTTCATATGGAGGGAGTTTCAAGCTAAGCTCAAGAAAGTAGAAATTGTGCTGCAGAAAGTTGCAATTAAATTCAATTTAATATTGATTAAGAGATGGAAGGGTCCAAAGGAAGTTTTGTTTTGTTTTATTTATTATCTGACCAATTTACCCAGTAGCTTGATGAGTTTTTTTTGTTTTGATTATAACAAAACAGCTGCTAACAGGGACCATAGTAACCAAACATGAATTTGAGGAAAAATGTTTTTATCAAAAAATGAAAGTGTTTACGCTTTGACCACCTTCTTCTGTTCACTTCAAAATTGTCCATTATTTAATAATTAGCATCAAACATGTCCTAACATTTTAGCTTTGAAGTGTTGATCTTTGTTATTTGATCTTTGATCTTCCCTAACTGTGATCTTTGATGGAAACCCATTGTTGCATGATTTTTGGACCTTGAACCGTTTATTGACAGGCTACATTGCAACGAATGTTCACGAAACAAAAAAAGACAAGATATTGTTGGTTCATGTTACTTTTGAGATACAAGGACTGGCATTAAATTAAGTAGAGAAAAGTCACTGAAATCTGATGATGCTTGTCATTTCTATAATAGAAAGCATAACAAATAACAAAGTGTTAAATTCATAGTTAACTCGTTTTTTGAATACTAATGATAGAACACTGATGCAGTCAGTATTCCTGTTGATACATATACTGAAAACTGTGCAGATTAAATTTTTACCAGGTTTGTTTCTTTTTCTTCCATGCAGCCAAAGACATCTCCTCATTATGGTGAATACAATGTTTACAGCACCTTCCAAAGTCATGAGCCAGACTTTGATTATCTCAAAAGTTTAGACATTGATGAAAAAATCAATCAAATAAAATGGTTGAAGAAGTGTAATGCTGCACATTTCTTACTTTCAACCAATGGTGAGTGAGACATTTTTAGATATGCATAGAAATGGTATATACATAGACATGATTATATGTATAGTCTGGTTAGTTGCAAATTTGTCTATTGCTTTAGCCAGAAAGGTTCTCAAAGTTATGTTTAACTGTCTTTTCAAAATTATGTATCAAATTTTCAAAATCTGAAAAACTCCAGCATTTGCTATGAAAATTGTTTTTGAATTTAATAAAAATTGAAGGGAATCATTGCAGACTGTCAAGAAACCTGTTTTTATTTTGTTCAGTAGCCATACAGAACCACAGTAATCTACATTTAAATTTTTTTATCAAATGCAATTTTGAGCAGTTGTATTTTATATTCTAACACACATGATGTTAATTCACTGACAGAATCAAATGCCTTTTGATAACTTTGCAAGCCTCCATTTTCTGGCTCTGGGACAAGATCTCACTGGCTCCTATTCAATGTCATTGCTTCATACAATATGCTAGTGTTTGTTTTAAATCAAGCTATGTTTACATCTCATAGCAATTGGAGTATTATATACTTTTTAAAATTAAATTAACTTAATGCCACTCTCTAACATTTATCTGGAAGAAGCAAACTATATTATTCTATTTTTGTTAACTGTATATGGTAAAGAGATTCAAAAGTATTCTAAACAGTGGCCAGTTTATGTCAAACATCCATTTCTATATTCATTAAGGCTTTTTTTAGCCATGTTCTGATGTCAAATATGTCTCTTCTTTTATATACGCAAGAAATGTTTACTTATGACTGGGTATTAAAAGAGTTAATACTGCGGGTGTACATCCTGCATCTTACAGGTATAATTTTCATTGTAGGAATCAATTCCTGGTTTGATTTTTTTGCAGAAATCATGTATATAAAGTTTTTTAAAGCTCTGTTTCAATGACAAATTCACTGTTCAGTTTGTAATCTAGCATGCATGAGTTTATTAGAGCCGGTCTTCTGGATTTTCCATTCCAATTATGTAGGTAATTCCTGCATATGCAATTATTATTTTTCTGTTATCAACCAATAATCAACCTGCCACTTAGAAGATCTCAGTGTCATCTGACTTAATTTTGTAGATAAAACTATCAAGTTATGGAAAATTTCGGAGAGAAATGTTCGTATAGATGGTCCTTTGAACACAAAGACACAGGATGGTACCATGGATCTCAATCCACAAGATATTAGCGTTTTAAAGATTCCTAAATTGCAGCCAACGTCCTTAATGATAGAAGCAAGTCCCAGAAAGATATTTTCAAACGCGCACACTTACCATATTAATTCAATTGCCATCAACAGTGATGAGGAAACCTACCTATCAGCAGATGATTTGAGAATCAATTTATGGCATCTCCAGAGAACAGATCAAAGTTTTAGTATCCTTTCTTTGAGTGCCTGTTGTAAGCATTTCAACGATCTCACTGTTGCTTCATTGTATGTTCTTATTCCATTTTACTGCTGTCTTCTACAGCTAAGCTGTGAAGAGGGTGATTGAAATACTGCGAAATAGATGTAGCCTTTGCTTAAGCTGCTGATTTGGGATTCTCGTCAATTTTTATAATTTGCCAATCGAAGGAAATCACCAAAGTGAATTTGAATATTTTCCTGCAAGGCTTTTTCACTTTTCATTAATAGGCTGTTTGGGAAAGATTTTAAAAAAAGGAGCACCGCATCTTTCAATCTCTAGCCGAATAAATCTTTAACTATACTTTTAAGACATTGTCGATATCAAGCCAGCAAATATGGAAGATTTGACGGAGGTAATCACGGCAGCAGAGTTCCATCCCATTCACTGCAATGTATTTGTTTACAGCAGCAGTAAAGGAACAGTGCGATTGTGTGACATGAGAGAAAGTGCACTGTGTGACAGTCATGCAAAATGTGAGTATTTCTACTCTTCTTGTTTTTTGTTTGTCACCGTTGCATTATGTAGTTCCAAAATCGTTGTTGCAGTAATGTTTTCAAGAAATATCTTTATTGAAAAGTTAGTAAATTTTTTTTGGTTTGGACCTGACTTGACATACCCTTGTTTCTTCTTTGACAGTATTTGAAGAGCAGGAAGATCCACTGACTCGCTCTTTTTTCTCGGAAATAATTTCATCGATAGCAGATGTAAAATTCAGTAACAGTGGCCGCTATATGCTGACCAGGGATTACCTTACAGTCAAGGTTTGGGACCTGAATATGGAGAAACAGCCAGTTGAAACATACCAGGTTCATGAGTACTTAAGAAGCAAACTTTGTGCGTTGTATGAGAATGACTGTATATTTGATAAATTTGAATGTGCTTGGAGCTGCGACGATAGGTAAGTTGACCAGCTATTGTAATTTCATTATCACCCTTTTCAATGTCATCTTTTTGTTAGTGTCAAGTAGGAAGAACAATGTTCCGTCTTTACTGACAAACATTTGTCCGTTTTATCTTGAATGCAAAGAACTGGTTCTTGAGATTTTATTTACAAAGTCCTCAGATCAAATTCTTAGCGATTATTAAATACAACGCAATGCAATGCACCATAAAGCCTTTGCAGTGCCACTACGAAACTTATGAGTAAACACAAATTAAGCTTGTTAAGTTGCAGGCGTTTTCTTGACCCTACTCACGTCCATAATTTGTTTCTGGTTTTCACTGGATACTCATTGAAACTACTTTTCTTTCTTTATTCTAATACCATTGGAATCCAAAATAAACAAAATTTTACCACTTTCATAGCGGGATCTTGCCTCTTATACGCCAGGGAGACCATGTGTAGTTTTCCAGCACCTTTTTTCGTGGTTCAATACACCAATTTGACTTACGGCCTCATTTTGAAAAATTCTTCAAAATTTATTTGTATAAAATTTTTGACCGCAGATTTAGATTGAAAGCAATGATTTTAGTCTGATTGTAAGTTTTCATTAGCATATTGCTCACGATATTGACTTTATGACGACACAAAGATAAAAACTTTATAAGGGATTTGACAGTGATTGGCGACTAGGGGGTAAAGTTTCCCCCGGAACGATTTTTGCGGTCAAATCCCTTACAAGTTTTCAAACTTCATTTCTCCGTAAAATCTAAAATACAAGCTGAAACGATATGAAAAATGGTATCCCGCCTAAAATTATAGCGATAAAACCAAATTTGAGCTTAAAAAAGTCGTATAGTTAAGTTTGGAGAAATTTCCAAAACGAGGTCGTAAGTCGAATTGGTGTATTAACTTTGCTTTTATTTTCTGCCAAATTTTCATTTACAAATTTTTTGATAGTTGAGAAGGACTTTTCACGATAAATTTAATTGTCTCCTATCTTATTATTCTCACAGAGTTTTCTAGGGTTTTGTAACAAAATTCTCCATTTTTCAGCGAAATACTGACGGGTTCTTATAACAATTTCTTTCGAATATTTGGAAGAGAGCAGAAATCTGGACTGTGTTTAGAAGCAACAAGGGAAAATATGCGGCCAAGACAGTCATTAAAGTCGAAGAAAATCACCACAAGTGGAAAACGTAAAAAAGATGAAATCAGCGTTGAATGCCTAGACTTTAGCAAGAAAATTTTGCACATCGCCTGGCATCCAAAAGACAACATCGTTGCATTAGCTGCTACTAATAATCTTTACCTGTTCCAAGAAAAATTATAGGAGACTGTCATTTTTGTGGCGGTGGGTATTAGTCAACAATGTTTACAGTTGCAACACACAAGTTGATGTTTCTCTCAACTTGTAACGAACCGAAGCCAACCCGAAATGGTCAACAGCGTTAACATGTGCTTGCATGTTTGTTATTAGCACATGCAGCACCGCCGTTCGACAGTTCGTCTCTCTTAACTTCTTGGATGTTTTCCATTTTTATTTATGTATGTTGAGGCACTTGGAAACTTTGAAAATTTGATCACACTTCCCAAAATACGAAATTGCTATTGTATTGTAAGAATAATGTTGATAACATGTTTCATAGGTTTACTTGAGAAAAAACTTCACCTCGATTTTTGGGCAGATGATTTGATGTAACCATCGTAGCAAGTTTCAAGGGACGTTATGCCATGCACTATGTTGCCCTTTTTAGCGAACTTATTGAAGATAATTCAACCCTAATCATGATAAGCGTATCTGAACAAAATGCTATCTACGTTTACTCGTTGTAACTAAATTAGCTATTTCATAGAATAGCTGACATGCTGTAAGCCAATTGACAGAATATAATACCATTACAGGGATGTCCTTTGTTGGACTTGATAGGAACAATGTTGTATCTTTTTTTAAAGATTTGACTTGTACCAGATTGATAACCTTAATGCCAAATTCTTCACGTTACCTACCACATCTCTTCGAGACCTTCAGTTAGCAGCGAGACGATCTTTAAGCCAGCCGTATACCTTCTAGTAACTTGTTTCAAAATTGTCATATATAAAAGGGTGTAATCACTTTCGTGAGTATTATTAAAACACCAAGGAACATAACAACACCAGCAGATGAAAAGTTGTATTTCTCAAATTCTCTCTTTTTCGTGTCCGGATTTTTTTTCTCAGCTTTTTTTCGCCATGATCCTCTATTAAGAGTGATTTTGAATAAACAAGATGCCTTTCATAATGACCGGCCGGGGAGAAGCTCGTGCTAAGAGCTCTCCTGTTCTACGAAAATTGATATGAAGATTGTTTTGTTAGATGATTGACATCAAACATTTGATCACAGGCGTTGATTTCATTTGCAAACGTAGTAGCTACATTGTTTATCATTCTTCTTACCAATGTGTCTCGCTAACTAATTAAGACTAAAATCAAGTATAACACTTCTAGGTGCACAACTGAGGAAATAGCAATGCTTGATGTCATCAGTTAAAGATGAGAGCTTGTCGGAGCTCTCTTTATCTGGCTCATTTAGAAGATGTTTAAATGAAAACTGCTTTTATCATCGAACCCAACGTTGCAAACGCAGAAGAAAGCAACAACAAATTAATAAGTTTTTAAATATATTTGATATCTTTAAAGTATTCATAGATGGCGCTTGTGTCGGTTATCTGACAATACTTTTTAAGAAAGCTATCTTAACACTTCTTGTTAACACTTCACTGTATGAATCGTTTTATCTGATCGTTAAGTCGTTATCTTAAAAACTCAAGGGTAATAGTATAAACCAAATGCATCGCTTCACCTTATGGAACTAGATCATGTGCTACAACGGCCGCTCTATCATTCTGAATAAAGGGATTTGTTTTCATCTTTCGCCTTGCCGAAGGTAGAGCTTGTTTACGGTGACATCATCTTCCTTTCAGGTTGTGTTTGCCAGCCAATTTGTAAATATACTTTGCATCATTTTCCTCCGCTCTGGAGAGCCATTGTTTACCGTAGGTATGATTCTGGAGGGCTTCAAACTCTTCACGAATGACTCCAGCTCCGAGAAGCTGCTATGCTCGCTGTAGGGAACTCCTATGAAGGATTTATCAGAATTATCAATCATCGGTTGAGCGCAATATTGTTTTCAAGAAAAGATCTGGTCTGAATAGAAACTGTGTTATCATTATTTCTGAGAAGAAAAAATGGACAGGCAGTGTTATCATTATATCCCAGTAGAAAAAATGGAGTAGACCTTTCATTTTTATGCTAAATGTGTTATCAAAGTTGTGGTATTAAAGGTAACAAAAGTTTGCTAATTAGTCTAGAGACATTACCCCTCAACTTAAACAATGAAACCATCCAACAAAAGACCATGATGCAATGCATGTTGTAAAAGCTCTATTAAGTCCCCGGGGCCTTATTTATTTGTTTCAGTCCTAGAGGGGGGGCTAAAAGATAAGGGGACGTATTAAAGAGAGGGGGGCTTATTAATAATTCAATCTAAAAAATGTAATAAATCTGCTCTTATGCATTTTTGTTATGAAAATTTCATGCAAATGCTCTCAAAAACTTGCTAGCAGCTTCGAAAGGTTCTGAAAATCAATCAATTATAAAGTCCTCATCTTCTTCAGAGTCACTAGCATCGATTGATATCCCCTGGGGTATCATCCAAACAAATGCAAATGCTCTGACATTGGCGGCTTAAGAGGGGGGACTTAAATAGAGGGGAGGGCTTATTGTAAATTTTTGCTAATAAGGGGGGCTTAAAAGAGAGAAGGGGCTTATTGAGCTTTTATGGTATTTCCTATCCAAGCGGAAGAGATTATTATGAAAAAATGTTTGTCAGAAACAGATCTACTGGTTTTTAGTTTTCAAGGATTGTGTTATCAAAAAAAAAATCAAGTTAAGTCATTCAGCTATCAGTATTCAGCCATCAAAACCCTAATGGGAACAGAACATTTCAGATTGTAGTAATATAAAATTATCATTCCATGTGATAGGGAGCATCAATTGTTTACAACGTAGAAAATGTATCACTTTATTAATGTCCCCTCCCTCTTCCAAGCAAGGAGTCATCATAGTTTAGTAACAAATTTACGAACCATAAATTGTTACTGATCCAGATACAGTTGGCCTTATGTTCCGAAGATCTATTATTCCCGAATTGTGAGTCCAGCCTGTTGGCTTGAACGCGATTATTCTATTGAAATGTGGATTTGATTTTAAATGTGCTTTCAGCCCCTGTTGAGAAATAAAGAGAAACAATTACATGTATCCTAATGAAGAAATTGCTTGGATGAAATTTTTGCTGTAGATAAGCTTGGATAACTTCACGCGGTACTAAATGAAAGCAGGGGTGTGGGGGGGGGCAGCCCCCTTGTTAAAATTTTCGAAAAAAGTGAATTGTTTGTGCTTGGATACAGTTAAGAATCATATAACGCAAAGAAAGCTGTGAAGAATTGTTACTTCACCAAAGGTCAGCCTTTGACGACAGGGTAAGGAAGCAACTGACAGATTCAAAGGCATTGCTAGCTTTATATGTATGAAAATGTACACAAAGTTTGACATATAGACGGAAAATTCTTGAATAATTTCGTACCGAGTACGTTTAGTTGCAGTTTTGTATAGACACTTAGATTTTTGTTGCATTTAGAAATTCCTGATTCAACAACCGGTTGATATTATTTGACTCTGTCTTGTCTAGTTTATATATTTAATGCACTACACTTTTTTTATAAAAACAATACAATTTTTTCAACACTGGATGCTCTTATTTTTTGGATAATTTTAGGCTCCGGTGTTTTTAAAGTTGTATTTATTTCAAAATTGATTTTTCTGTATCTGCAAACTATAAATACTTCCTGAGTCCAATGAATAACAGTTCTGCATGACATTTTTAGTTAGTAGCACTGTTCATTAGCTGAAAAAATCGCCTCTGTTTTGTTAACACGAGAGAAATTGTTTCAATTCAAAATCCAACCAATTGGTCATTATTATTAAAAAGAAAGTTCTTCCTTATCGCTGCCATAAATATTTAAGATGCATTTCTTGCCATTCTTAGAAGGCTGAATCTCAACATTTTTCTCGCTGCCAACGAGAAATTATTTTTAGATATGCCCTTTCACGAATGGTGGCGGCTTTTACTGAACCCTGAGCAATATAAACAATTTGCCTCCTAACTTGCTATAAAGTCCCCCCCCCCCCGGACTCTTCCCACAGTATCGACTCAAATTGCAATGAATACATGAAAAAGAGCAACTTAGAAATTTCATGGAGCCCCCCTTGTTAAAATTTTACGACTCATCCCTGGATGCATGGGATATCCCTTGGTGGAATGAGTTATATCGGACGCTAGTGACATTAGCGATACGAGCGCAGGATGCTGAAAATGCTAGCCACCAAGGCACATAAGTTGGTAAAAAAACAACAACTTGTAAAAGATTCCATGAAACCATTCAACTGTGAATGGTGAAAAACATAATAGGATATAAGTGAATGTGTGCCAACAGATTCATTATAGTTTAGGCAACATACCTTAGCGTTTAGACAGTTCATTGGCAAAAGATGAATTTGTGATTGACTCCACTGCTGAGACAAGCGCTTCTCAAGCTCAGGCCATTTATACGAGGCTAGTATTTTCTTTTTACTTCCTTTCACACCGATCATGCAGTCAAGTGCATTGGCGATGGCTGGTGAAAAATTGATATTTCATTAGCCACATGGAAAGCTTAAATGCTCGATCGGTACTGTAACATTCAATTTAAAAAAATTAATTAAATTTAAATAGGGTTGCAAACCCAAAATATTTAAAATAGGTATGTTCGATCGTCCATATATCGAACAATTATTAGCATTTTCTTTTACCAGACAATTCTTTCATATATTAAAGTGGTAAAATTAAAGACCATCATATCAGCCTTGTGCATAAAAAAAGAGTCAAAAATAGCATCGGCAGAAATAGCAATGTGGAATTTCTGGCTATTGGTTTGAATCAAAAGCAACTGTGTGTTTAGAAGAGTTACCTACATAAATGTTCTGATATGGTGCAGTGAAAGGGAAATTTAAATATATAACGCATCAAAAAAGTTCCTAAGTTATCATAGAAAAAATAAATATTTCTGTCAAAATAAATGTTCCAGCTTTATATTATGTCGATTTTGCATCATAAATCTTCTTGCAGCTTTTCAGCAAATACTACAAATACAGCTTTAAATATTAGACAAAGCTGGCCTTGCGAATTCGCTAGGGGCAATTCATCCTTCGACGCTTAATATAATGAAAGGACCTTGGAATAAGACAATCAGAACGATGTAAAAAATGAATAAGAAACATATATCAGGTTATATCTAAATCTGCAAAAAATCTAATGAGCCTACAGGACCTTGAGATTTTTATAAATTCGGAAGACTAGCTCTATTTCCATGCAAACAAAGAGGGCGTTAACTCCCCTCTCCCTCATGCAATGCTAATTCGCTATCTGAAAAATAGATACAAAATGTATCACTTGTATCTGTACTTAAAATTGCTTCACAACATTTTTAAGGTCCGAGTGAATGTTGCAGCTCGTGTTTAACATCAATTAGATCAAACGGAGCAAGACTTTTGGCAAGCGGTGTACATCAGTACATTAAGCAGAGGTGGATTACCAACCCAATAGCTATGGTTTCGAAACATACTTGGTGAGAGATCGAACCAAATGCATAACCTTACCAAGAAAAATCCTTTCTTTGCCAATAGTATAAGTACCACATACTATCAAAGTTCTCTTGTTTGCACGAAGGGCTTCCAATGATCTACTAACTGTGAAATCAATTACCCTTTGCTGTGTCGGAAAATTGTATTCGGGGCTGCAGTATCTAAAGTATTTTGAAAAAAAACTTGATTAAGAGGGAGCAGATGGAAAGGAACAATTCTTAAATCTTAAACATATCAAAACATAAGTTGAGTATTTGAAATTGATTTCATTTCTTAAATACGCCAAACTTCAAAGATTGCTAGCCTAAACATGAAAAAAAATACGGCTTTGCCATCCAATACCTCAATGATTGTACAAACTACTGCTACTACCACAACTTATCCGGTTTCAATTCTTATGTTTTACATCAAACCTATTGGTTTGAAAAGAACTTTAACATTGAAAGTTGCAGAAACCAACATTCGACCTTTGTCAATTCACGGTGGTAATGCAACAAAGTGGATAGGAAGAGATTAAGCGCAAAATTACGGAGATTTAAAAAAGGTGGGCTCTTGATCTCGCCATCTGATCTGTAAAGTTACATAGATTATGCACGGATGCTACAGAAGCAAACAGTGCGATGGAATGTGAATAACAAACATATAGCTAAGCTAAAAAAGTATGACAAAATCAAATTCGAGTCATTCACTCTGAATCATTAAGAGCCTATTTGAAAAGATCAAAAGTTATATGCTGCATTTGCCAGTTGAAGTGAAAATAAACCATTGCTCAAGCTTGGCTTGTTTTCTTTTTTATTTGAAAATAAAAGAAAAAAAATGATGTTTAGATGCGCACAGAAATCAGTTTAAAAGCAGAACATGCAAAAAGATAACGATCTTCCAATACTTAACCATCGTAATGAACTGATACAACTACGTAGAATAAAACCAACACCCAGAAAGCTGCCACACATGCTGCATACTGTCATCAGGAACAATACATCAAAGCCTGTAGAGAATTAGCAGGCCGAGTGGCATGCGAGTATAGGAAATGAGGTAAAGTGGCATGCACTAGAAAAAGTGATAGCCATAATGCCACATTAACAAATTACCAAAGCTGTTAGCTAGAAAGAAGTGACACTATCAGCTAGAAACAAACGATACTATCAGCTAAAAGTAGAAGAAACTGTCAGCTAGAAAGAAGTGACACTATCAGCTAGAAAGAGACGACAATGTCAGCTAAGAATGAGACGAAAATGTAAGCTAGAGAGAGACAACACTGTTGGCTAGAATGGGACGATACTGCAATCGAGAAAGAAACGACATTATCAGATAGAAACAAACGATACTATCAGCTAAAAGTAGAAGAAATTGTCAGCTAGAAAGAAGTGACACTATCAGCTAGAAAGAGACGACAATGTCAGCTAAGAATGAGACGACAATGTGAGCTAGAGAGAGACAACACTGTTGGCTAGAATGAGACAATACTGCAATCGAGAAAGAAACGACATTATCAGATAGAAACAAACGATACTATCAGCTAAAAGTAGAAGAAACTGTCAGCTAGAAAGAAGTGACACTACCAGCTAGAAAGAGACGACAATGTCAGCTAAGAATGAGACGACAATGCAAGCTAGAGAGAGACAACACTGTTGGCTAGAATGAGACGATACTGCAATCGAGAAAGAAACGACATCATCAGATAGAAACGAACGATACTATCAGCTAGAAATAGAAGAAATTGTCAGCTAGAAAGAAGTGACACTATCAGCTAGAAAGAGACGACAATGTCAGCTAAGAATGAGACGACAATGTAAGCTAGAGAGAGACAACACTGTTGGCTAGAATGAGACGATACTGCAATCGAGAAAGAAACGACATTATCAGATAGAAACGAACGATACTATCAGCTAAAAGTAGAAGAAACTGTCAGCTAAAAAGAAGCGACACTATCAGCTAGAAAGAGACGACACTGCAATCGAGAAAGAAACGACATTATCAGATAGAAACGAACGATACTATCAGCTAAAAGTAGAAGAAACTGTCAGCTAGAAAGAAGTGACACTACCAGCTAGAAAGAGACGACAATGTCAGCTAAGAATGAGACGACAATGTAAGCTAGAGAGAGACAACACTGTTGGCTAGAATGAGACGATACTGCAATCGAGAAAGAAACGACATCATCAGATAGAAACGAACGATACTATCAGCTAAAAGTAGAAGAAACTGTCAGCTAAAAAGAAGCGACACTATCAGCTAGAAAGAGACGACACTGCAATCGAGAAAGAAACGACATTATCAGATAGAAACGAACGATACTATCAGCTAAAAGTAGAAGAAACTGTCAGCTAGAAAGAAGTGACACTACCAGCTAGAAAGAGACGACAATGTCAGCTAAGAATGAGACGACAATGTAAGCTAGAGAGAGACAACACTGTTGGCTAGAATGAGACGATACTGCAATCGAGAAAGAAACGACATCATCAGATAGAAACGAACGATACTATCAGCTAGAAATAGAAGAAATTGTCAGCTAGAAAGAAGTGACACTTTAAGCTAGAAAGAGACACTATCAGCTAGCAATCCATTTCAGTAGCTACACCTTTGGAAGATTTATGGCGGACATTAGCTGCAGAAAGGGACAAAAAGGATAACTGGCCATCAAAACAAAGTGAACAGGAAAGATATAGAAAAGATGGATATACGCAAGCTCCATGGAAATTCTCAAAAGATGTGTAACTTTTCAATTACTAAGGTTCAGTTGGCAGTACTGTCCTGCTTACTTCATTCAAACTTAAACTAATTCCAGGATCCAGGCAATTTTAGTGAACAAATAACAACACCTTGGCTAAGTTCAGTGTAAAAATGCAGGTAAAACAACTTACGTTGTGTCTAAGTAGAGAACATCAGTGTTTTTGCTCTTCAAAGCTGGATGCTCCCACATTGATGGAACTGCGCGAAAATCGCCTTAAAGATTAATACAAATCTCTCAGCCTTAGCATTTCTTAAAGAAAAACCCGTGTTGTGCTAAATTTTATCATCACTGGCGTAAAATTCATGCTTGGATAAGGCTTTTGATGAAGACCTTGGATAGGAGAGGGAGACATTTTTTGGGGGAGCTAGACGCAATTATTGAGATATTGGTTACAAAAAAATGCTTTGCGTTGTTGTCAGCTAGCAGAAAATCAAAGATTTTCTCAAATTTCTTTAACCGAAGTCCATTTAATATTAATGCTAAAGACAATTTTAAAAATTGACAAGGCAGAGTAACAAAAATCTCAGGTAACTTAAGGTGCATCCTTTTTCTCAACTGCTGACTTTTTGCTAGCGGTAAAAAATATCTCATTTTGCAAATCTTCAATTTTTGTGAAGCACTTCATTGCCTGTTGAAAGTTCTACTGTATTGAAAGTATTTAGAACATGAAATTAAAGACAGATTTCATTCAAAACTTGACATCTCTTATGCTGCCAATGTTTTCATGGAATACGTTGCAATGGGTTACCTGTGTGCAGAATTCTTTGGCCATTAGAAAGTACAAAAAGAATCATGACGGATCCAGGACAACTATAATAGAGAAGTAAAGGTTAACAAAAATCAGCCCATTAATATTTATACATTTTAGAAAAATTGGTACTGTATTTGTAAAAATTCACCGTGGCAAAATTGTCATTGCATCCCTTAAATCAAAGCTTTAGTGCCACATCACTCGAAGGGTTTGGGTAATCTGAGTAAAGTTGTGAGACAATGTCCTTTCATATTACCAAAATGCATCTTTTGACACATTTCAGAGCTGCACTATTTTATCATACATACTAGCTTCCATAGATACTGAAAGAAAGTGCTCGACCTCTCCCATATCAAGTATCTATCCCTTTTTAAAGGAATTAGATAGACCTTATTTTGGCTAAGCTAGAGCTAGCTGCTCCCCATGCTCTTGGCATTAAAAATACCAACAGCTACACTTATCAAGAAACTGTAAAACAGGAGTGAACAAGGTATCACCTACTGATTAGCATCCAAAAGAGTAACTTTAACACCCTCAATTTCTATCTCTTCATTAACTGGCAAAGTGTGGACGTGTTGTGGATCAACCTTCAACTGTGTGCATACTAAGGAAGCAGTGATCTGCAGCAAAAACATAGGCAAATGCTTTACAGGAATTTAAGAAAGCATTACAACATTATTCAAGAAATAAATATTTTGCCAGAATATCCAATTTAAGTAAATTAAAATTGTAAAGATTTCATACATAAGACATAAAACTACTTCAGGCCTGGCCGTTTGAGGCCAGCGATAGCTCGCGCTCGCCTCCACCCTCCCCTTGCAACCTGAGGCGAGTTATGAATTGCTCTCCTAAACAGAACATGAAGGGAGAATCGCTCCCCTAAAATTTCCATTCATTTGCCCCTTTCCTATTCAGAGAACCCTGAAAACGTACAAGGGTTAATTGGTTTATTTTTGTAACAGCAATTTCTCCCGTCATTGCATTTTTTGCAATTAACTTTTTGCTTGTTGGGCGGTTTTTTATCATAGGCATAAACTTCGATCTATTCTGAAAAGGATCGTTAACGGAAAAGTACGTTTGTAGCGATTAGAACCTTTCAATCTTAATAAAACAGGAATATTTTTGGAAGGAAAGTCGAAGAAATTGGTAGGAATTGTAGATTGGGGATATAATAAGACAGCAGGTCCCTTCCAGCAATAGAAACAAAACTATCCTTCAAAGAGAACAAGGTACTCTGTTTTGCAGATCAAAAACGACAACCAAAACATGGAATTCCGGGGAATTCCACTATCCAGCAGCATTTACTGAAAAAACCCAGATTGGGTGAAAAACTATAACGGCGACATGTTTCGCGTTATTGGCAAAGCCTGATCATCGTTCCATCTAGCAGTGTGTGAACATATCTACTACATAAACATGACCGACTGCTTTTGTGTAGACATAACCTCAACAGCCATGTGCTTGCGTTTCCTGATTGGCCTATTTCGATCCAAAACTGGGTATTTTAGCGTAGAGTTCTCCATCTATGTTCTGACGTTTTATTCTCTGAAGAGTGCTAGACGTATAACTTCAGCTTGGTTTAAATTTTTTTTTTCAAAGCCATTTTAAAATTCTGTGCAATAAAATAATTGTTTTGCAAGAGAATTGTTGTTTTTGCGTTGTGCCAGCTTTACAAAAAACTGAAAGAGTCTGTTCTTATGAATACTTCAAGTAAAGGGGGTGCCTAAGTCACGGTTGAAGCAAATAAAAATTGAAAGGAGTAAAACAGCACACTCCTGACCGAGGCTATTACATTAAGGCAACCGACAGATACTAAAGGGGCTTATTAAGTCATCTGTCGATTGTCTTTAAAGTACACATTCTATGTGTTACTGATCTAGCTCGCCTCAGCAAATGAGGGGAGCAATTCACAGCTCACCTATGAAAATACAAACAGCCAGGCCTGCTACTTTAATTGGGTCCTAACAATGAGACTTCATTGGATATTCAGCTATACATAAATACTAATTGGCTGGAAACACTGTCTAGAAAAGAAAGAAAGACTCTTACCTTGGAGCAATACAAATTGTTTCTGAAAGTCTTTTTCAGGCCCAAATAATGGTCAAAGTGAAAGTGACTTAGAAAGTAGGCTGTACAACCAGGAATACTTCCATAATTAAATGCATCTACAGTTATCGATGTACCTGAAACAAAACATTAGCTTAGAAAACATCTTGTCTTAAAGTGGACAAGTAAAATAACTATAAAAGGAAATTAATACAGCAATGCCCAATCTAAGGCTTAGACCACTGATTTCAGGCATCATGAAGCCACAAGACAGTTTATATAAATGTAAAAAAATGCTAAAGACAGAACTGCACTTTGGTTTTGAAAAGCACTGCACGACCTGCAACTTATTGAAAATACAAAAAGTGGAAAAGGAGCAATAATGGGTACTTTGCCCCCAAGCCACTGTTTTTCACTGTGTGCAGTAAAGATTAATTTTGGATCCCCCTGGCCTTATGATCCTAAAAATCCCTCTTTTCAGAAAACACACTCACTTTCCAAATTGAAACTTGAGAAGTCTGACTTACTTTGTGCTTGGGTGTTTGAAACTGTTAATTCCCCTCACTGCTAATAGAGAATAAGCTAAAAGTCTTGGCTGGAAATTTTTTGTTGCTGCAATGATCCTAATGGCATAGGCCAGTTAATGACATTTGTTGCAGGCAACGCCCTTTCCAGCACCCCACTTTTAGAATGGTGTGCAGTGCAACCACATAGCTGTAGATTTCGGCTAGGGTGGGCAAACTTGTGCAAGAAACATACCTGAGGGGGGCAGGCTTTTACAAAAAAGAAATAAATAACAAACAGATAGAATTCAGTTAGAATTTTTGACACTAATTGATTCCACAAAATCCAAAGACAATAATTATCATCCTAGTTCTACAACATCTAAACATTATCTTGCAAAAGATTTTTTTAATTATCATGTTGTGTGTGATAAAACCTATGACTATAGCTTATAATCAAATTTTAGAAAGTCTATAAAGTTTTAAAAGTATCTAGATTATCCATGATAACCCAGCTACGTGTTGGGCTAAGTTTTCATTAATTTCAGCATTATTTCAGAGATACCTTGAACCCCTTCTGTCTTTGTCATTCAATGCATGCTATCAAATGGTCAGGCATTGCCACGCACATGGAGGGAGCAAATAATGCCATCAAATTGGCCTGTGCATGAGTAAGATATTTGACCATTGGTTTTGACCTTCCTAGGACTGCAGTTCTTCAAAGAAATGTTGGAAGTTTTGCTTCTAGTATCTGAGCAAAATTATTCTTTTTATTTGATTGGAGGAGACACCATGTTGTATACTGATTGAAAATTGCACACAAGTGGCAAATGTAACGCGATTTTGTATAATATATTCCTTTTCATCAAAAATTTCACATTATGGAAAATGTCTTTAAAAATTTCTCATGAGTATAGTTTCTCCAAACACATTTAGTACAGACTTTTCGCTTTTAATAGCTTTTCATGCTTGAATGAAGTTTATTTGCTATAGGTGTAAATTTTAAAAACCAATCTAGATTTTAATTTCATAATGGCACCAAGGTATCTGGTCTTACTGGCAATAAAAAATACATTTGATGTATTTTCTTTGTATTAGAAATAAATTATTGGTACCTGGAATCTTTTTGTAGAAAGGACAGCTTCTTTTCTGTTTAAAACTCTGTTCACCATAGTCTTTGGTGGTAGTTGAAAGACTACTGACAGCATTTGTTTGAAGCTTGTTTTTTACACCAAAGTATGAGTTTAAATCTGTCTGAAACTTATTTTTCATACTCTTTTTCTCCAGGTTGTTTACAGATGAAGTCTGGGTTCCTGGATTCAGGTTGCCCATGATATGATTAGTGGAACTGTTAAATTTGTTGTCAATTTTTGAGTGACATGTACCAGTGACAGCAGATTCATCTGCATTAACAACAGCTGAAAATGTGTCTCCATCAGCATCATCAAAGATATAGTCTTCTGTATTGCTTTTACATTGGTTATTCTTGTGAGAGAATGTTCTATTCGGAGAATGAAGACTTGAAGACCCAGTAGCAACTTGTGTTGAATCTGCAGCAGCTTTTGCTATATCTTCAGATATTTTGGTAGCAATAGTGCATTCCTTAAAAAACAACATTTTTAGCCAATTTTTACCTTTCGGATGGCAAAAGGAGAATATTTCGAAAATCTAAAAAAATAAAAAGAATAATCAAACCCAGTAAGAACAAGTAATTATTTGCCAAAATTGAAAAAGGTAAATCATAGGTTGAAAGCAAGAGATTTTACTTACTTTAAAATCTGCTATGTTGCTTCTCTGTCTTGCTTGCTCATTATGGGTATACATTCTAAAGTGATCCAGGCTTTTAAAGGTGCATTGGGTTCCCATAAAGCATTCACCTAAAAATCAAAACATATTTCTGTTGTGTCCCATAGGGCTTTAAAACTTCAATAATAATTTCTTAAATAATATGCAATGATGGAGTGTCTATTTTTAAAGGAGCTGCATGTGTGGCTTAAGTTATTTTTGACTGATCAGAAATTGATTAAACTGGCATTCAGCAAGTATACAAATGTAGAGTACCAATTATGTGTACTGTGGTCATGCTGACAATGAGAACATCAGAGCTGCTCATAACTTGTCATTCATTAGTTTCATTGAAAGTCCATTTGTTCCTGCACTAGGGCAACTAGGAATCAGAATAGGATCAGCTTCCACCTTGCACAGTCTTGTAAGCTCTTCATCAAAACTAAACCTTTTTCAACAGTGCTTTTCTTTGTTGTCCTTAGTCTATCAGCTGGTCTCTCCCAGTGTTTTCCTTCATCCCATCTACAGGCCATACTACATACTGGAGTTTAACTTGCACCTGGCCTGCATGGCAAACAAGCAAAGCCCGTTTTTCACAGCACAAATGGCAAAACTAATAGATTGCAGATGACAAAATGCAATTAGCTCACAGCTATGGATTGGCAACATATGAAGTCTTGAGTCTAATTGTTATTGTAAAAATAATACTATGCTTGTAATTCAAACAACATGACCATCTTAAAAATTCATTTAAAATAATTTTATGCCTACACACAGTAATTAATTTCATTTGGATAATAAAGGATAATTGAGAGGAAACTGATGGTGCCAATGTGAAATCCATGTGGCTTAGGCTGGAGATATCCGGCATGGATGACTTCCTGAACAAAAAGCGAACAAGTTTGCACTTTGGTATAAGTGTGCACTGCAACTATGCATATTAGATACCAATTAAGAAGCCAGCATCAACAAAGTAAGAGGTCTTCATGGTTCATAATTATTTTGTTCTCAAACTAATGCATGTTGATATTGATCTTAAGGCAACTGAGTTCTTCGTTTTCCCTAGGCAATAGGACACACCCCACTATACACTATCGTCGTTTCTAAAAGACTGAACACTCCAAGAACAGGCTGAACACCCCAAGAACACCCCAAGAACACCCTAAGAACAAGCCATTAAGCCGCTGAACACCCTTTAAAACATATCAAAATCGGCATGTCATTCGAAAAATAATTTGATCAATCAATCAAAATTAATTTTGGGGCGGGAAAGGACCTGATAAGTCTAATGCTGTTGGTGTTGTTACAACCAACTGATGTTTTGCGCGCCAGAAGTGTGAACGGGGGTTTGTACACGCGGAGCACAATTAAATGGCTCCAAAGCACAATTAAATCATGTAATTGAGAGTGCACTAGCTATATTAGCATACCGTGACCAGTTCATTTCTATTCTATGCCTTGACCATTTGGGCAAATTAGCGGATGGGAAGAACAATTGTTTGGAAGACAATAGGTAGTCAAGTGACATGTCGTATTTTTACATTGTCACAGGATGTGAAAGATTTTCAAAACAACGGGAATTTGCTTGAATGCACAAAGGGAGTCAAACTCGAATTTGCTCCGCGTGTACAAACCCCCGTTCACACTTCTGGCGCGCAAAACATCAGTTGGTTGTAACAACACCAACAGCATTAGACTTATCAGGTCCTTTCCCGCCCCAAAATTAATTTTGATTGATTGATCAAATTATTTTTCGAATGACATGCCGATTTTGATATGTTTTAAAGGGTGTTCAGCGGCTTAATGGCTTGTTCTTAGGGTGTTCTTGGGGTGTTCTTGGGGTGTTCAGCCTGTTCTTGGAGTGTTCAGTCTTTTAGAAACGACGTATACACTATACATAACTAGTATGATATATGAATTGGAATTCCTTGACATTTTGGGTCGCTAGAGGTGCGAGGTGTGAGCAAAAGAAGTCCAGTAGTGTCGCTGCAAGCATATGCAATTTTTCCAGCCTGGGATAAGCCCTTTGGATGCAAGGTGGCAATAAAAATACAACAATCCATCAGGCCCTTTCTCAGTAATCAGAATCACATTTGATTTTGTCTTCATACAAGGTTGCCAAGTTTTGGAAAATAATACCTGTGACATTTCATGAGCACAGATAGTGAACAATGGAACTGGGGTCCTGAGTTGGGGGCAAAATAATTCCGAATTTTAGTAAATCTGGAGTGCTCAGACGTCTTAAAACTAAACCATTCAGAGTGCCTAAACATAAGTGTTTATTTCAAATTGATAACATTCCAGAAAAACACAGAGAACAGGCTTTTAAACAAAAGAATAAACAACCGAAGCATTGAACAATAATAGTGTATAATACTTATACATTAACGAGTTTGACAATCACTCGCGCAACATGTCTGGGGCAAGTGATTGGAAGGTGTTCAACAACCACTGAGGCGTATTATCTGAATTTAATGAAGAATGAGACCCAGGAAGAAATCCGTTAGAAAAGTAACTCCCGTCTTTAGACTGTGAAAAGAGGTGAATATCCGTGAGTCTCACGGCCATACCGTGAGACTTGGCAACCTTGTCATATTTTTCGGGAATTTGCATCGTATATATTGTTTTCTGAGCTCAGACTGCTATATAGGTACGTATTTGGTTGGTACCCTGCGGTGATGGCGTTCATTGATATTGATGAGGAATGAATACAAACTCACTACGAAGTTTTTGCGGATTCCGTTGGTTTGCTAAGCATTCTGTGATATGCCACTCTTTACTCTGACTTATAAGATGTCTGAACGGAAACTGGCAGACTGGACAAAATTCAACACTTGTTCTATGATGGTGGTCATGGTCATCATTCTTTTTCCGAAGCTCTCGACAACCTCGTGTTTTGAGCTTCGCTTGGGAGTCTGCCAGCACTCCACGCCTTTTAAAAGCGGGTTGAAAATCATCTTCGTCCTCAAATGGTCTGTGGATTGGCTTGTCAAACCTTGCTTCCTTCGATAATCTGACCCGCTTTGCCATTCATGCATCCCTCTCCTCTAATGTCTGTCAGCCACCTTGATACCTGGTTGCCACCTTATGTTTCCCGCGTTTTTCTTCACTACCGTTATCGCAGAAAGCCACCAGTTTGAAGGTGGATGGGGGCCAAGCTTCTTTCGCCTTTTATTGCAGCTTTGAAACCACTTGCTTTGCAAAAAAGTGGGGCCACGTTTTTCAATAATGATTGTCATATTAGTCAGGGCTAGTGAAAAATCATGGAAATTGTGATAGAAAGCAACTTGATAGAGATACACAGTTGTTACACTAAACATAGGAGAGCCCAATGGCTATGTACGAAGAGGAAGAAGATGTCTGGTACGTAATATGAGCTCAGTAAAGAGCGGTAGCAAAACGGATTTGGCTTTTCTATGAAAGTGTTTATAAAGAAACAATATAAGAATATCATTGACGGTGGAGTACGATCTTTCGGGCTAATTTACCGTAAAAGCTCTATTAAGGTTTCGGTAAACGTTTCCTGGATAAACACATCCATTTTTCGATTTTTTCACATTCAAGTAGCCGAACTTTCAAGGCACACAATGATACCAACTTTGAAACTAACAGAAATTTTGAAAATGGAAAAAATCCCATGTAAACGAAGGTTTCCATAATTTCTTTGTCAAAACTTTTAGTTGAGGTCTGAAAGTCTCTTGACCTGTTAAGCCCATTATTGTTGCTTTGCGGTTGTGTTCGCTTCTCTCATTTACAACATCAATGTATGTGTATCTCATGTACGGCTGTGTTTATTAAAACAGGCGTACTGATCTTAAAGCTTCAAATGACTTGACCCGGATGACACTATGGTTTACGAGTGTACCTTGCAAGTGCGATCAGTAAATTCCCGTTTTCTACGGACTTACAATTCCTTTTCATACAGGTACGAAAAAGCTATTTTATACCCAAGGAACCAATCGAATGGCTCAAAAATTTGTACACGGCCAGGACATCCGTCTTTTATAGCCAAATACAACTGTGAGAGGGAAGAAAAATTGTTTGCCATTTTTTGACAGGGTATAATTTAACGGGGAGGAGGAATTTGAAAAATCTGAGACATACTTTGGTAGCTAAGGATCTGCACTTTCTGCTGATATAAGTCAGATTTTGAAGGTGGTACACTCACTTAAGAAATATATTTGCCTGGAAAGTATCATTTTACAATATTTGCCAATTATTTTGACATGGTTGGAATCACCACGTTCTTGTGCATTGAATGATGTACAGTTTAATCTAATTCCGTCAACAGTTTTGCTTTTAGGTAGAGAAAACCAAGTATCGTGTCAGAAACGTTTACCGCAACCTTAAGTTCGGAGGGGGGCTTATATATTTCTTTCAGTCCTAGAAGGGGGCTTATTTGAGAGGGGGGCTTATCAATTACTCAAAATAAAACATATTTTAAAAATGCCACAATGCTCTCGGATTTCTTCGAAAGAATCAACAACAATATCCTTTTTGACTTCTAAGTCGCATAAGGAAATCTTTATATGGACCGTATTTAATGCTCATGATCTTATCATGATCACACCCGTCAAGAGAACCACTCAACGCGCGTGTTTTCTAAGTTTGACATCACGGGCTAAAGAGGAGTTCTTAATAGAGAGGGAGGGCATATTTTAAACTTTTGCATGGTAATGGGGCTTAATAGAGAGAGGGCTAAATCAGGGCCGTCGCTAAACACTTTCACTAAGGGCGTGACAGTCACCAATTTGCCGACAAAATAGGGCGTGGCCTTAAAATATATCAATTTTTGAGTGTGGTATTTTAACAAAGTACAGTTTATTTTAATGATCAAAGATTATGTTTTCGTCAGTCAATCATCGCTTCAATTTTCGCGTTGTGATTTTCTTTGTCTGAATACTTAGAGTACTTTCTTCGACTTTACTCCAGAAGTCAAGTTTCAGCAATGAGATATCCCCATTTATTCAAATAGTTCAGCAGGTTTTAATAGAGTCTTAGTTTGTATGAGCAGATCTCACAGGCAGGTCTGCTGAGAGGTTTCAGAGGCCTTGGGGCAAGACAGAAGGACGAGGCTCCCTGCGAACGGAGCGGGCAGGAATTTTAAGATAGCAGACTATCTTAAAATGCATTTCAGAATCTGTTGATTTGTGGTTTTATGGCTTGATACGGCGTAGTACGTAAAAAAGTACGATCGAAATCAACTTTGTTTGTGTGCATGTGCACGTTTTTGAGATACGCGTATTTAAAACATTCACTAGAAACACGCATGCGTGGCCGTACGATCCGTGCCTATACGTGTAGAACTTGCTCATTGGAAATCCGGCTTAACCTTTAGAGTGACCATGTGGAAATGGCGGAAGTGTACAGCGAAGCTTCGAGAAAAAGTTCAAAATGCTTATATATTCTTAAGTTCAAGATGACTGCTAAATTTACTGGAAATCCAAAAGATATCTCATTTATAATGCAAAGGTTGCTTAGATTTTTTGCGGTAGATGATGATAGTAAGCCGAAATAGAAGTTTGATACGGTGAGTTTAGGACCATCAACTTGATTCGTGAAATCGTGACAACAACTGTTGGTTTATTCACAAGAGACGCTCCCTTATGTTTAAAAGCAATTTTTTTTACTCGTGCATACTTGGTTGTAAACAACAAGCTATGTAAAAATCTAACATTAATTTTGTATGAAAGGCGTGAATGTTGACAATATAATTTGTTCGTCCCTGTTCTGTTTGGCCTAAGTCTTGCTACAATTTGAATATATAATGAAATTTATCGACAAAAAATATAATGAAATTAAAAAAGACATTGTCCTTAATAATGTCCATTTCATAGTGATTTATGTTTTTTGAAGATGCTGCTACTGAAAAGCAAGGGGGCTAGTGCCCCCTTGAAGCATGCATACATTAGACGGGGAAGACTTTTCATCAGACCTTTCTTTAGACCTTTCTTCAAACCTTTCTTCAGCCCTTTCTTCAGACTTTTCTTCAGACTTTCTTCAGACCTTTCTTCAGACCTTTCTTCAAACCTTTCTTCAGACTTTTCTTCAGACCTTTCTTCAGACCTTTCTTCAAACCATTCTTCAGACTTTTCTTCAGACCTTTCTTCAGACCTTTCTTCAGACCTTTCTTCAGACCTTTCTTCAGACCTTTCTTCAGACCTTTCTTCAGACCTTTCTTCAGACCTTTCTTCAAACCTTTCTTCAAACCTTTCTTCAGACTTTTCATCAGACCTTTCTTCAGACCTTTCTTCAGACCTTTCTTCAGACCTTTTTTCAGACCTTTCTTTAGACCTTTCTTCAGACCTTTTTTCAGACCTTTCTTAAGACCTTTCTTCAGACTTTTCTTCAGACCTTTCTTCAGACCTTTCTTCAGACCTTTCTTCAGACTTTCTTCAAACATTTCTTCAGACATTTCTTCAAACCTTTCTTCAAACCTTTCTTCAGACCTTTCTTCAGACCTTTCTTCAAACCTTTCTTCAAACCTTTCTTTAGACCTTTCTTCAGACCTTTCTTCAAACCTTTCTTCAAACCTTTCTTTAGACCTTTCTTCAAACCTTTCTTCAGACCTTTCTTCAGACCTTTCTTCAGACCTTTCTTCAGACCTTTCTTCAGACCTTTCTTCAGACCTTTCTTCAGACCTTTCTTCAGACCTTTCTTCAGACCTTTCTTCAAACCTTTCTTCAAACCTTTCTTCAGACTTTTCATCAGACCTTTCTTCAGACCTTTCTTCAGAGTTTTTGGGAGACCTTTGGTAAACCAGACCTTTGGAAAACCTTCAAACCAGTTCAGAGGCTGCAATGTTAGTTTTATTTTGTGGTTCTTAACTTTCATTAACAAGACCTATTCAAGAAAAACATATCGACAGTATTACTTATGGATATAATAAGAATAATTGGATATGGATAGAAAATGGACAAAGTCAACTGTGTTAGCCACATCAAGGGTAGGTAGTACCTGGGCCTTTCCCTGTTCGGCAAACAAATAATAGATTTCAATGCAAAATGGGAGCATTACAAAGTTCAATATGGCCACTTAGCCTTTCAGTGTATCTTCCAGAAGATGTAAAGGAAATAGTGGTGGTTTTGAAAAATATAAAGAGAGTGAAAGAGTCCTAAAGCTTATTATATTTCAATGTTGAGATAAAATGGGAAAAGTTTGTGCAACAAGTTATCAATTTTTTCCATAAAATAAGGAACCAAATAAGATGGAGAAGATAAATAAATGAAACACGGCTCAGCAATGATACATAAAAATCCGGATATTGTGCAAAAATTCCGGTTCAGCATCAAAAACATAGAAAGTGTAGGTCATCAAAGGGACAATGTAAAAAGATTCAAAAATACTTTAGGTGCTATTTCAACTACCGAATGGATTTTGCTGACCAACAGAAGGTTTCGTTGAACAGCTGAAAAATCACCGACTGTCTCACGAAGACTCAAGGGGAGGCTGCCATATACCCCCTACAGTCCCCAGCTAGCTGTACTTCTGTTAATTGCCTATTTTTGTCGCTTGCATTCTTACAGGCATATATATTTGCACGCAAAGTAATGACGTGTTATTCGATTTACCGCTATTCCTGTATTTGATCTGTCTAATTCTTACAGTGGTCTATGAATCTCCGTTTTGATATCAAAAACTCCAGTTGTCTTCTTGTAACTTTTGTATCGTCGATGATATGCAATGTAAAATTTTCCTCGAGAATATTTCAATAGCTAACGTAAAGAGCTATTCATTCGGTGGGGCCTTAGAGAAATTGGATGTGACGGCCGTTCTTTCGAAGAAACAATTGTTTCGATAACTTTTTTATAAATTTATGCATAAATTTTAAAATTTTTCCTTATGATGGACGCGCTTTTCAAATTTTTGAAGAGGCCTGGGTGGCGATCGCCAAAAATTTTAACGGGCAGTGATGAATTTTTTTATTTTTCTTTTTGAAACAACAAGCCATTTAAATCATCATTATCGGAAAACAAACCACCTCCCCCCTCCCCCTACAAAATAATTGCAGCTAAATAAGTTTCAAGACAGTTGGCACTAAATCCAAGAAATCAGGGCCCCTTGGGTTAAAGGATGCCTTGTCTCAAATTTCCAAGAATGTTTTTCGGAAGAAGCGTCTGCAATCCACAATTGGTTCCAGATATATTCGAAAAAGGAAGTCCAACGTGGGAAGAGGGCTCAATTTCCAACTAGTGCTGCTGATTATCTGGCTTTAGGAGTATCGCAACAACATTGTTTTTTCAAGACCACAGGGAAATTGTGCAAGTTGATTTTATTTGCAGCACAAGTTTTGAACAAGAATTTTTATCAAGGCTAGGAGAATAAAAAACTACCTTTGCAGTACCATGTCTGGGGGTTTGCTAGTCGATTGCATGTTTACAATCTTGAGTCTTTTCATGAACAATACACAGAAAATCTGGACCTAAAGTGCCCAAATATCTGGACCTAGTCTGATTTCTTTGTAGGTAGGTTTTTAGAAGATTTTGCACATCAACATGGATCGAGGACAAAGGAAACAGAGAGTGGCTTGGGCTCAATTTCAAGAAAATTGGACTGAGCTGAAATAACATAGCAAAATTAGTAAAGATATTGTTTAGTACAAAGCATGGAATCGAGGGTGAATTTTTACAGCAGTGAAAAGTCATGAAACAATGGAATTCCACTCCAAACGCTTTTGTTTTATTAGCCAACTGCTCATGCGACATATGCCCTTAAAACATTATCTGACACATAGGGGCGTTGTGGCTGATGGGGGGCACGGGGGGAGGCACGTGCCCCCATATCACCGACCATTCGGCAATTTGTCCAAAATTTCGTATCTGTTCGGCAAAAGAACATTTGTAGCTCAAGAAATGGAAGAAAGTTCGAAGGAGCTAATAGGTATAAGAAGGAAGATATAAACAGATAAAAATTATCTGAAAATAAAAAAACTCGTGGTTGTTTTTTTCATGGTGTCTGCCTAGCCATATCTGTATGCTTGTACATGTAATTGCAAGGTTGACAGGCTGCTACTATGGGCCTAGAGAAGAGAGGTTAAATAAATGTTGAGACCGATTTATTTGACGCTCAGGCATGGCAAAGTAATTGACAAATTTGCTGATACACCATTGCTAAAGAAAATTTCCATGCACAGAAAGTCTTTAGAATCTTAAGATATTAATTATCAGTCCTATTGCGAGTTTTACTGTTCATCAAAGGTACTGATGATTATGATTTCCCAATGTTCGAATACGGATGTTGGCTTTCCTCTGACCGACTTCCTGAAATCAGTAAAAGTGATGCTGCAAAAGATACATATTGTTTGCCCTGTCCTTCTGTCTGCATCTAAAAAGCTGCGCATGCGCTTGATAACATCATAATTTTAATTGAAATGGACTGACAGAAAATTTGCAATCTGTGCATCCCCTCCTAGGAGTCACTAGCCACTCTCCGCGTATTTGTTCCAGCAATAAAAGCATCGCAGTTTTTGTTATAGATATCAAAACTACACTTCTCTTTCTCCGTAGTCTCAGCTATTTCTGCTGATGAAAGAAAAATGGTTAAAAATGCGATTGTGGCTTTCACAATAGTCAGTTTTAAAGCCAGACTTACAAAAAGGTGTATCTGACCATTTGATTTGCTAGAAAATTTTGAAAATAATTGCCAGGCCAGACAAGGAAATGTTTACTTCTCACTTTAAGCCTCGCTGCATGTTTTTAAGATTCTAATGAAAAAGGTTCTAGTTCCTTATTTTGGATCCACTGCTGGATTGCAGAAATATTAAGCTCAGGCATTGACTTGCTTGTATTTTTGGCTATTTTTAATGTTGTACTTCAAGATTCTTTTCAAGAAGCTGTTGATGTATCAGACGATCTAAAGTGCATCGACATAAAAGCTTTCAGAACAATAGAAGCTCTTCTTTGCTCTACCAAACACAGCGAATTTGGGTTTAAATTTCACGAGAATGTAAATGGTAGCCCATGCCACTGATCCTAAACTGGAGGGGCCAAGAAATTAGATAAAGTTTCCACTAAACCCCTCTAGCCTCAATTTTGACAAACATTTTGCTGACACAGCTTTACTTGCTGACTTTAGTGGAATTTGTTTGCTGTACAGGCACGGAGCCAGCACTGAAAAGGTGGGTGGGCAACAGGGACGAAGCCAAAAAGTTTCAAAAGGGGTACCATAATGCGTTTTGCCGACAAAAGGGCGTATCGCACTCATTTTGGATGAAGTCATAAGATGAGTAAATTTGTATGCTGCATTTATGTGTTTCTATTTCAATATTCAGTATTCTAGAATTTGAAGAACTTTTAGTGCCACATTTAGCAAGTTTAGCTGCTACAGAAATCTTAACACTTCACAACTATTAAAAAAATAGTAAGCAAGCTTCTTTTTATAAGAACAATTCTTTAAGAACACGAGCCTCAAAACTGGTCAAGAGTTAAGAACAAATTAAGAAAAAGCTGAGGCTGAGCTTCTATAAAATGCAATTTTGAACTGAGTTCCTTCTCAAAAACGAGGATTTTTAGCCAAGTTTAGGTGCTTTTCGGTGAATATTCAAACTTGAACACGGTGAATATGCAAATGAAGGTTGTCTCGCTCACTTGTTAGCAAACGAGGTCGGAACGCCTCCCCACAGCAAAAAAGCTCTATCGCACTGCTTACACCCTATTAATTCAAGAACAAATTAACAAAAATCTAACCTCAGACAAAAAATTAAGAACAGTCAGCCTGAACTTAAATTTACTGGTTCTTATAAAAACGGGTGCGGGCAATGCCGACCTAGAGTCGGCTTGTCAATTGAGCGCAACGAAGAAGCTTGTTGCTTGTTATTGAGGAATCTTCAAAATATTGTTTTCTTGCAATTGATAAAGAGTTTTATACAGATTTGTCACACCTTGCACCGGATAAATTTTTTTTGCAATTTACTGAAATTTTTAGCGTCTTTGTGAAGAGAAGTCTTGCTTCCTATTACGCATTTGACAGAATAAATCCGTTAGTCCGTTAGTCTGCTATCTAAATTTTCTACCGTCGTTGAACGATCTTTTTAGCTGAATGACCCCGCTTGTAAGCATAGTGTGACTGTAAACGAAACTTAGATTGAACAGTTTTTGTAACTGCCTCCACGAGTTGTCACACATCCAGTGATCACATCCCACAACAACAACAACTGTTTTGGTATTAGTTGTTGTTGTTGTTGTTTAGTTTCAACGAAAATGGCGTCCAAACCGGGAGAATCAATTAACCTGGTTATAAAATGGAGCGGTAAAGAGTACAATATTGACAATATATCCAGCTCAAATACTGTAGCAGACCTTAAGCAGGCAATAAAAGATCGAACTTGTGTTCTTCCAGAACGTCAAAAACTCTTGGGTTTAAAGTACAAAGGTACTTATCATGCATGGTTGCATCTCTTTCTCCGTTCACCTAGGTTGGCGTCGCCCTGATTGTGTTTGTACCTGGAAACGTGACATTTACATTTCTTCAACTATTGCGAAAAAATTGGGAGATTGGGGCTAAGCTGCGAGCAAAAAAGCGCGAAATCATGTGAATACGCCATTTATCGAAGTTAAGAAAACATTTTGCGTTCAATATCTCAATCGATGAACGAATAATTAGACAAGAAAATGACTCACCTGAAACGAAGATGTATATGTCTGCCATTTTGCGTAGGATGTTTTCGGTACTCGTTTTTTCATAATTATTTTTTAAAGGGACGAGCATATTTTAGCTGCTAACCTAGCATTCTTAGGTACATATCATGCATGAGGAGTAAGGATCTTTGCATAAATTGCTCAGTTTTCAATTTGTTTTGCTACAACAGAGAGGAGTGAAGTAAAGCTGACTGACTTGGCCTAAGTTCGCCTCGATTGGGTACATTAAAACGGCTGTTTTAGTTCGGTAGTTGTTTCACATTAATTCTCAAAAAGAAGCCTGCAAATTTCAAATTGTCAAAGATCTTTAAACAAAAATACTCTAGAGCAAATTTGATACATTTCAAATACAATATTCGGCTAAAATATTGCACTTTGTCAAAGCTGTTAATTTTCCCCTTGTTTTGACACTTTGAAGGCAACAATCTTGCATGCGCCAGATCGGCGGATAAGAAAAATTCAATGAAACATTGGCATGCAAGAATGTTTTAAAGGTGTTTGCAAGTGTTTAATCACTTATTTTCTTTTTGATCTTTTATTCGTGCATGCTTATATTTACATAGGGAAAACATACCCAATCAGAGCGATGTCAGAAATTTAGGCTGTCAAAACAACTAAGAAGTATTGCAGCTTTTTCAAAAAACTTTGTAGAACCAATTACCTGATCTTTTGAAATATATATCAGAAAAGCCTGAAGGATTTTGACAGTGCCAAGTTTTATGTCTAAGCCTACGCGAACGCGACGTGACCCTAGTTCACACACACTATTCCATGTTTTTCTTTTGGAATCAAAACATCAAAGATTTCAAGTCTATTTACCAACTTTCCAGTCAAGTTTATGACTTGTTTTTCCTTCACATCATTATTACTGCGCTAAGCCTTATATGCATATGGTTGTGTCTTCACAAATTTTGTGATGCAGTTCACAGCTTTTCAAACAGGTGTTTCTATTCAGGATTTTGATTCTGAGGACCTAACTTCTAGTTTTATCTTTGACATCAGTTATCATGACAAAAAATATGTGCTATTGGTTCTAGCTCTTAGAGAGATTTGATTATATGCTTTTAATTAATTTTTGAAATGTGTCAGTAATTATTGAACCAAACTAGATGAATAACAATAAATTTTCTAAGTAAACAAAGTCCAATCAATTTTTGAAATGAATAGTACCTACTTTTGAGTCTTCAAACTACAAGGCAGGTGTTTTTATAGCAGATTCTGTTCTTGCCAAATAGGGAAACCTCCTGGCAATGATGTTAAGTTGGGTGCACTCTCTGTCAAGCCTGGGATGAAAATTATGATGATGGGCACAGCTGAAGAAAATTTGGTAATATTTCCATTTTTTTGCTATTTTTGTATCATTGTAGTTAAACTTTAATTATCCTATGGTCTCCAGTAACATTTCATGACCACCATAGACAGACATTTGTGAAGAATTCAGTAATATTTTTTTTAGGAACCCCTCAGCAAATGTTTGAATAAATGTACAAAGCATTCCAGAAGGTGGGGGCAGAAAGGCAAATTAGGGGCTCCTCTGCGGGCTGCAAATAGGAAACTTTACTTTTGATTCTGAAAATTGAATGGGGCACACACCTCTTGGTACCTACCTATATGGATACTTGTTATCAAAGAATTAATACAATATACCAGGCCTTGCTCTAAGCAAAATGAAGGTGCTCCATAAAAAGAGCCCCTTAGAAACTCTAGGCGCTCTATTTCGCACCTTTAAATGAAATATATTTGAGAGCATCCTTCAAGAGCTTTGGAAGATCGAGAGCTTCATATCGAAAGCTTTGGAAGAGTGTTAAATAAGAAATTCAATGGTGATACCAAAAAGCACCATAATATGAAATAAGAACACATGCAGCAAACACTATGTTAATACAAATATAGAAATATAGGAAAACGCATGGCTTTAAGTCGAACATTAGCTTTGTTTCCCTTTTTATGCTATTCATTCTATAAGACACACTAGAACATCTACTACTCGCGAAAACAAATGAAAACTGAAAAGCAATGCGGTAATTTGGACGGAAACGTGAACTCTGATTTGCAAAGGTGATTTTAAATTATTAAGAAAAACAGAAAATAATACTTCAACAGAAGATTAACGCTTGCTCGAAAATCAAATAAATCTGCCGGAAAATACGCTTGATGGCCTGTGTCCTTGGTGGTTATTAGAGGGTTATTAGATTAAAAATGGTATCGAAAACCCAACGTTGAATTTGCTGAATTTTTTTTTCAAGGGGTAATCTTACGCAAATCATAATATTGCGGTCTATTAGGAAGATTGTTTATGCTTGATCGAGTTTATTAGACAAAGGCCAAGAAATTATTTTGCTCCGTGGTAATATTGTTTTTACGTTTTGAGGGGCTCTATAAATCGCTCTCCAAGGCTGCTTTTGGGTGCGCTCTAGGCGCGCGCGCTCGATCGAGCGCCTTTCCGGGCAAGGCCTGAATATACCCCACACAGATAAGTTGCAGGAACCCAGTTAATGCTGGATCTGCTGTAAGCATTTTATGCCTTCTCTCAGAAGGTAATACATTTGCAAAGAGATTTCAAATAGTTTCATCAAAATGGCTGATCTACTAATTTTATCCCAAATGAGAGTTTTAGGGGTCATAAGCATCTGCACTAAACTTAGTGTCCTATTTAAAGAAAATTGCTATGTTTTAATGGTTTTAGAGGATAAAGATGGTACAGACACAAAAAAATTCAATGACAGTGCAGATAAAGGAGAATTTTAATGAAGTGGCAGTGTATGATCTTGAATTTATGATCAGTACTTTAGAAGCTAATGTAATTCTGTTATTGCTTCAGCTTAGAATGTTGTGAGACAAATCACATATCAAAGCAATTAACTAAAATTCCTCTTTACAAACAAAATTTCCCAATATTTCATCCCTCTTCCTAAGTCAATTGCCCCAGTGCTGACAGGAGTGCTACTTTAGGTCCACTGGAGATTATATTTTTGCTAAACATAGATAAGAAATACGACAAAGCCCCCCATATCTCAGAAAAGTATCATTTTCCACCCCATCAACATTAAGTTAATCAAATCTGCACTAAACACTAGTCTGGAAAAAGTTAGTTTGTTAGAGTTACTCCTCGGATGGTCATTGACATCACACTCACTAGCTGCGTCCCAGTTTTGGAGAAAATCCCCTGTATCCCGAAAAAGCAACCTCGCCCATCAGTTCAACATTCAGGTTCAAATTCTGCACCAAAAACTTTCTGGTCTAGAAAAAGTTGGTTTTTGCAAAGTCCCTTCTCAGGTGGCAAAGTCTTTTGTGCCTCTGGACTAATGTGTCTTTTTGCGTTCTCTCGAAGCTTATGAAACTTTATTTTGATTATTGTCAGTCTTTTGACAGACAGATTCTGATATTTGAGAGTTTAGGCTCTTTCAGATTTTGGTAAACTGACTCCCTCGTATGTTGTTATATTGAGTACACCCACTGATACATCGTGTTTCCAAAAACCATACGTTGATCATCAAACTAGGTGCAGCCAGGCACAATTCTGAAAGTTTCCTACCAGCACTGAAACAATGGCTACGTGATTCTAAGTTATACTTGGAAATAACAAGGAGAATAATATAACCCTATTAGGAGAGGATTACTTGAAAATTAATTGATGAGAATTCACCAACTTTGTTAAGCTCTCGGAATCACAAATGCTCATACCTAAGGACTAAAAACATTGGCTAAACAGTTTTTGAGAGCCAATCCCTCCCGTACCAGTTATTGTACGCCAGTCGAATTATCAACATCGGTACATTTCTTAAAACCCATTCGAACATCAATTTGAAAGGTGAAGACCTGCATATTTCTAAAATGGTCTGTGAAATCTAAAGATAATGTTAGTTATAATAAACCTGGGCATGGACATTTACCAAGTCAAACTACAAAACTAAAGTCAAATCTTATAAAAGCAACTTGAGCACACATTGATCCATTTTGTATATGGATGCGCAAAGCTAGTTATTTTTGTTCAAAGTATAGAACACAATGTTAACGACCTTCGCAAGATGGGACACATTGTCATCGACCTGCACACTAATATCTGACTCAAGGGCTATCTAGCGGAGAGTCAGCATTATGTGTATTTTATGGAATATTTCTGTAGATGTACAAGATACACGTACGTTTCTCTGTTTTATACCAACAACATCCAAAACGACAATATGATTCAATGGCATATTGTGACAACTGGCGCTAAACTTTCCCTAAGTCTTTCTTGATTGTTTTGTTTTTTATGCATGTTTTCTTTTCACTGTTTACTGGTAAAAGACCTTCCTGTTCAAAAGCTTTTTTGTTTTTTTTAATAAAATTGAGTCCGAACTTAAGGAAACCTTTTTTCCGAACAAAGATCCTATTTTACCTTATAATATATCACCTTTCAGCAGGGGCTGGCAAGCTTCCCCTTACGACCCCCTGTTGCGACGTTCCTGGTGCCATTACGACCCCCGCTTGCGATTTTTATGCCATTTGTTTATTTTTTATTAATAGTTTACTTCAGTTATCGGCGCTGAATTTTTATGTTTCTTGTTACTTCTAACATTTATTTTTTTATTTATTTTTCATAATAAGCATTATAATAAGCTGTATTTTCCATTTTCTTTAATAACCTATAAGTAATATTGCCAGAAAGCCAAAATTATTATTTCTATGTCCATGTAAGCTGACTGTGTCGTCAATGAAAATTTATTTGACGCATATTTGCCCAAAACAATGGTGACAATCAAATTTGCACCGCAGGTCCGTATTGATCTGGATCAATCGGGACACATGTAAGTGACAACTACGAATTCAAGTTTATATGTCCCCACAAATACTCGTCATCGTCTGCAAAGTATCTTCACTAAAAAAATGGCCGTAAGTATCAACAGAAGGAGCTATAGAGATATGAGATTTCTCCTTGGCAGCATAAATTGCATTCCTTTTGCTCTAAATTTTACAAACACATCTTTACATGATTAAAAACATTGTTGTAATAAACTCATCATTTCGATTTTAAATTTTTAAGGAAACAATCATTAAACCTCCTGAAGACGTTATAAAGCTAAAAATTAAAGAGGATGAAGATATAGGTGATGAAGAAGTGGCTTTGGAAAACAGGTATAATGTTGCCATAATGGTATTTTCAAAATTTGCAGTATTAACCATTCGACCGTTTCATAGAACGCTGAACTTATGTTGTGCTACGTGATTTCCATAAGCTTTTTCAAGGATCTTGCTAGTTCAGAACCGCTGCAAAATATCAGCTGGCAATATCTCATCTTTAGAGTATCAGAATATCACGTAATTTTAAAATGCCATATCATTAAGATATTGAAATAACAATTTTAAGTTTTACGCCTCCTAAAGGGTTTATGGTGAATGTCTCCTTAAAATTGCTGAAATTATCACAGTTCAATATAGATTAACCCCATTTTTGGTGGATTATTGTCATTGTTTTGTCTTTAGCCTATTTTCAACTATTTGTGTATTCCTATTCAAGGGAAGAATTTTTAGCGAAAGTTCAAAGAAGAGTTGCATCATATCAGATCAAAGTGCTGAATGAACCTAGGCCTGGAAAGAAGCTTCTCGTTCTCGATGTCGACTACACACTTTTCGGTAAAAGCATGTAGATTTAATTAAAAAAGCAATTTCTGCATTTTTCATAAAGTTTTCGTTTTTATGTTTAAAATTCCTATGTTGTTTATTTTTACGAATATTACGAGTAAAGTACAATAGAATAGAATAGCAATAGAATAATTGATTCCGTAATCATAAATATACAGGCAGCTATGAAATTTTTGAATATTTTCTTGTTGTGGATAATACTGTAGACTATATTATGACATATGCACAATGTCACATGATCCTGCTTTTATCATAAACTTCAATCGGTAGAATAGACCACGTTGATATTCCTATTCCTTTCACAGACCACAAATCAGTCGCAGAGACAGGCTTTGATTTGATGCGACCATATTTACACGAGTTTCTCACTTCTGCATACGATTGTTACGACATTGTGATTTGGTGTATGTGCATCATTTGCTTTCTTGATCTCATATTTTCTGCTTATAACTTTTGTTATTGTGAATAAATTTTCTATCGCCATCTAGGTCCTGTACCAAAGAAAAATGCAAAACAAAAAGTTTTCTATATTTGAAGAAAATTTGCCACCTTTGCAAGAATGATGCATATTGTTTTTCTAACTTGATTTCATCAGCTCTTTCCAATGTATTTCCAAAATTTTGATTTTTTTTCTCTTTAGTGGCATTTTCCACATTGTCAACTGTGACGTCGACCCTTTGCGTTGATGAAGGGATCCCATATAGACTTCTTTGGCCATTTTATATTCTAGGACGTTTAGAAGCTATTGTTTGCCTTTGCTCAAACTGCCAAATTGCTGTCCAAGAATTATTATACTTGACAAAGGCAAAATTCTTGAGTACTGATGGTAGCAATTATACCTAAAGACACGCGGCGTATACGTATACTTAATTCAGGGGTCTGGGCGGGCTGAAATGGACAACCAATGCAACTTGACATGTGTTTGCTTGCATGCTTTGGGTTTTCTCATGTTTCATGGCTTGATAATCTGCATTAAAACGTGTTTTTCATGAACCAAACGAGTATCACTTGCGCCATAATAAGCCTAAAGACCAGCGCCTCTTAGAGTGCACCTCAGATATAGGGAGGGGCGTGCACTTTTGAAGCAAATTATCTTTTAGTTGGTGATCCTTTTTTCATCGATCGAGTTCTTTATTTTGATGAATTATTTACCCTGGGAGCAACTCTTCCTGCCAGATTGATTATCAAACGGCTGGCTGCTGTTTCAAGTGGCTATTTGTTTCCCTTAATGTGATATTTCTAAGTATCAAAATAAACACTTCCTTCGCAACATGCTGACCTCAAATAAGAAAATACTAAACGGCAGAGATTCTCAGGTGTGCAACGCATCTGACAATAGACGCACAAAAGGGTATTTGACAAACTTTGTTTTTCTATAAGAGACATCAACCAGACGCTTAAGTTTTTTTTTCTGAAAGGACGTCGACCCCGTAATTCAAGACAAGGTTTTTTACGTTTCTTGAATATAAATTCTTTCTTTTTCCAATATTCAGCGGCAACAAGCATGAAATGGATTGAGGCTAAGATGCAGGTATGCGTCTGATATTATGCTCAATCACAATCAATAAAATTTGTTATTTGATTTTTCACAGATTCAATTATGAGGATAAGATTGTTTTCTCATTCTTACTAAGTATTCTGCAAATATTGCCCGCCTAAATGGTGTATTGGCTGCAAAGCAATTTTGATTTACTGGTATAAGCCTTACTGGTATAAGAATTTGCAGTTTGATTTTATGCGGACTTGGTTAGTTATATATAAAATATCGTTGTGCTATGTACTGATGTACATCCTATCTCTTGCTGAAAACCTTTTAGGTTTTCCTAGACTTTTACTAGTAAGAAAATTGCTGCATAACAATCTATGCTACTGCACAAAAACTGTGCTACCGCACACAATCAAACAAATTTTTCTTTTGATCACGCAATAATTTGCATTTCAAGGTTGATTAAAGGACATTAGCCGCTAGTAGGCAGTCGAATTCTTTCAACTCATAGGGCCTTGGTAAAACTACCATCTTGTATGTTGGGTTTGACTGAACTGTCATTGTCTTAGGTTTCCGTCCAAAGTGTAGAGGAAAAATGACTGTAGTAGAAAAGTTTTATTTTCATGAAAAGTTTTTCTTAGATTTGCTTTATTTCTCGTAGGAACTTGGTGTTACCAATAATCCAAATTACAAAATAATGTTCATGTTAGATAGCGATGCAATGATCACTGTTCAGTCTCCCACTTACGGAATCATCGAGGTAATATATCACATATCGACGCATGCGTTGTTTTTATTCGAAAGCATTTTTGATCTCGGTCACCCTTTTCCTTGTGAAATGCGGCTCACATGCAGTAAGGAAAGCGGCTTATTTTGCTTGTTATTCTCTGGGAATTGATTTTTGCTGCTGACGATAGTGCTATTTGCACTCTGAACCTGTCTATAATTTTTATGCTGTCCTGTCGACTACAAAATAGGCTGTATTTTCCCAGTAGACCGTATACAAGTCTTATACATGAAACAAAATCTGTATGCAATCAGATTTCTCTATGTGGTGTATAGAACAGGATGTTGGTGTGACAATGAGGTTTGCTGTCTTTGATTTTATCCTCTTTGTTGTACATTGTTTCACATTTTATTATTTCATGGTCAACCCTTACGTAAGTCTAAATTGTCTTGCAACCTGATTCAAAACCCGGTTTGACACTTACTCGAGTAGATTGGATTTTCATTTTGTGATCCCAGCCAGTGTGGCAAGCATTAAGTGGATGCTTTCTTTGCAGACGAAGCCGCTTGGAGTCATTTGGGGAAAATATGCACAGTACTCTAGCAAAAATTCTATTATAATCGACGATCTAAGAAGGAATTTCCTTATGAATCCATCAAATGGCCTTAAAGTGAGTTTTTTTCTTTCTTCATTGCCTTATATTTTGTGTTCAGATATTTCTTTAACGTGACTCTTTCAGGGCTTGTATAAGTCATTCATTAAGTTTTCTCAATTCTGTAGCAAGCCGCAGCTGAAAGAAGCGGAATATGTGGCCTAATAATCCCTCATTACCCTTTTTAGGAATAAATTTTTAATGATGATATTGTCAATTAGATCCAGATCGATGCTTTTAAGATCATTTTATTTTAGAAAGCTCAGTTGATTCAAATATTTTGTTGTAAGAGAAAGCTACACCCTACAATCATCAATTATATCAATTAACGAACAGCATTTCAAACCTAATACGCCATAACCTTTCTTTTTGTTTCATTCAAGACCTGATAATAAAGCAGGTTTTTTTCTTTACCATCTGCCTGTATCTATCGTTCCATTAGGCACAATCCTAATGAACCTATCCAAAGAATTCGATTGTACCAAACATGACCTCCTTATAACAAAACTAGATGCTTCCAGATTCAGCCATGTGTCTTGTTAACAACTTCTTTTTTTAAAAAAGCATCACAGAGTAAAGATTAATGGGCCATTCAGTACCTACAAGCAACTGTTCCTTGGTGTTCCTTAAGCATCTGTTGTCTATTAATCTTACCATTCAAGTGTCTACTATGGAACATTCACTGTAAATAGCTATGTAGCGCCAACTTTAAATAATTGGTTATAATTTTCAATTATTATGATTTGGAAATTGGATGATAATGCTAACCGTAAGAGAGATAAGAACTCTCCACTCGTTCACAGCCAAAGCTCAGCCTATTCTTCTATCATGTTTGTTAATTTTTCTATCAGTGGCGTAACGAAGCGGCGTGGGCCCCTTACTAAAAGAAGTGTTTTGGGGCCCCTTTGCTTGACTAAATTTGAGTCAAGATGACTATGATCAGTTAGATAAGACTTTGAAAGATCAAGCTTGCATGATTTTACTTGAGTTCTAGGTTGACTCGCACTTTTGTCGTTCTTTTCAGGAGTTTGTGATTTATCAAAGGCAATGCTCGTGACTTTGTCTTCGGTCTTTTCTTCCTGCGGAGGGAAACTTGAGCTTGGTAGATCTTGTTCTTTGCTTTTTTTCAAAAAAGTGAAATTTTCTTTGTGTTTGATGTAGCAGCTTCGACTTTACGTTTCATTTTGGCCCTTTTGCTCTCACCAGATTCATAAACACGGGGATTGGAAGACATTAAGATATCTGTGTTATCCTTGTAAATTAAATGCACAATTTTATAACGATATAGATGTCCATTAGATGGAAATCTTATTGGCATGCTATATCTTACTTCATTACTATGTGGTTGCTCGCAAATCATATCAAGCCTTACGCTCACTTCAATGCTGCTGTGAACGTTACTAAGAAACACATGCTGTCATGCAAAAACCCTTTCTTCGGAAAGAACGAAGTCTTCCTTCAGGGCCCAAATGCTTGGGGGCCTTTAATTTTGTGCTTAACGTTGCACACCGTGCATTACGCCATTGCTTTTTAACGGTTCCCTAGGTGTCTCCTGCTCCTCTTTCATCGACACGTGCAACGCTCTAGATATCAGCGAGAATCATCTCCGCTTCATGATCTCCAAACTATCCAACTTGACTATCCTTACTGACTTTTACATTTCCTGCCGCAGAAATAAGTCTTGGAATAATCCTTACGTTCTTCAATTCTAAATATTTCTGCTACTGACAACTTTAAAAACAAACAAAGGACAAAGAAGCTTTTTCCTTTTTTTCTTAATGTGCTTGTAATGTTCTTAATGTTCTTATGTGCTTGTGAAAGTCTTTTTGTTTGTAAACCCAGGCTAGCCAATTACAAATTACCTTTATAATAGTGAAATTTGTAATTGTAGTTTTAGCTGAATTGAAAATGAAACTTTCCATTATAATCATTATCGCACAACTGACATAATGCTAACAACAACCCCATTGTTTCGACTATCCGAAATAGCAGCTAAGACTTCTTGTGAGATGGCCACAAAAACCTTTTTTTCTTAATTCTTTGACAGAGTTGTGGCACCTATTTTTTATTTCGTTACCAGAAATTATTTTTTTGTCAATCCTGACTGGCTACATTCTTGATTTTTGAGACATTGTTAAGCTACAAACTTGTTGTGAATTCAAATTTTTTGCTGATGCTAGGAGATTCCTCGAATTATCATATTTTTTGAATTGTATTTTGCCAAAATACCAGCTTTAGAAATGGTTTAGAGATTATTGACATGTTTTGAGTTACTGAAATATATCCGTGCGTCATGAGATTTAAATAAAGCAATACATGTCAAACTAACATTCAATTATTCGCTGATATTTGAATATGTCTTGCGCTAACTGTTTATAAGCTGATTTGCATTCTCTTCAGCTAACTGTTTCAAGCTGATTTCGTATCCATTATTTATATGATCATTTGCAGCCAAACATACGTTTTCTAGACTAATGTTATTATGCGAAACCTAACTTCAGCTGCTTTGAACTTTCTCTCGAAAACATTCGAATACACGCTATTTTTGTAAGCATACGCTAAATTTGGCTGACGCACAATACGCTAAGGCAATGATTTTATGACTTTTATGATTTGATCCTCAAATTATGCTCAATAGTTCATAGACCTTTAAATAGGTTCAACGATTCAAGGTGCAAACTAAAGAAGTCTATGGCCTAGTTTACAAATTAATAGATTGATCTTTGTCGTTAGGACTTGTATTTCTTGTCCAGAGAATTTCCCTTTTGAACTTGTTTCGAATATTCTAATATTTTGGAGTCTTTTGAAGTAATCTCATATTTCATCAGTCATAAATATACTGTGCAAGGACTAACCTCTGTATCTGTTTTAATGGTATTATTTGCCTTTGTTCTTTTCATCATTTAATATGAAACTATCTGCAAACTAATGTACGATTATGATTCTTATAAACTTCAATGTTTTGCAAGGCTAGTTTTAAAGAGTATGTAAAGCTATAAAACATTATATATATATAGTTTTGAAGAAATATTTTTGATAGCTTCTGCAATCTTCCGCACTTCTCGTTGTAGATTAGGCCATTTCGAAACGCGCATGCTAGTAGAGCAACTGACCAAGAATTGCTACGAATCTCGAAATATTTAAAGAAAATCGCAACACTAGAAGATTTTGCTAAACTTGATCACAGAAACTGGGAAAGGTGAGTCTTTTTATTTTTTTTAATTAGACTGAGATCATTTACCGCTGGAATTGGACTAAGATGGTCACTCTTTATTAGAGTACAAGCATTTTCAACTTGCCGAATTCTTGTGTCGAGAAATGCACCGTCTTTGAGTTGAAGCATTTTTGTTCTTGAACTAATAATTTTCATATAGATTTCAAATTTATTTACATAATGCTTTGCAATTCAGCGCCTTAATAAACCAACGTTGTTAAGTTACAAGAAGACATAAATCTTTGACGAACGGTAGTTTTTTCAAAATGATGAAAAGAACACGTGATTTTCAATTTAAAAGGTATTAGGATATTTGGACAGTCAAGGCCATAAGTCGTTTTTGCATAGACCAAGCCATAGAAAATGCTGTTTGCTAAAACGAAAGCTTCCTTGTTGCTGCTAAACTTGAGTCTGATGTTCGAATATTGCAACTCAACTGTGTGTGGTGAACTGGACCTTTCTAGTAATTTCTTAGTAATGCTTATAAGTAGAACACATTAGAAAAAGTTGACTAAAATAATTGTAGAAACTCATAAAGTAAGCCTTACAAGACATGCTGTAACTTGCTTATTACATATTATTACTAAACATATTCTAGAAATTTCTGTATGCTGCAGAAATTGCTTCTTGCTGCAGCAATTCGGTTTTATTTGAGGATCTGATATGTGAAATTCGATGGATACATAAACATGCGCTTTGTTGATTTCTTTGAAGAAAACTTACGGGCCTAAGCTGGAAACGTACCTTATCATAGCGTTGAAAGAGACGCACTTTGTTTGTGACTCTATTCAGTGTGTCACAGGGAATATAATTCAAACCAATGCGGCCTTGGATTCCCCACACTGAAAATGGCGATCACGAAGGCACATCGTAGAATATTCATCGACATTGGATTCAACGAAGAGGTTTAAACAGTTTCTGTTTCTCGCTCCAAAGGATACTTGCCGCACACTTCGCCAACATTCTACGTATTGCCAAAGATAAAAAACGATTGTTCTATTCAATTGGCACGCAGTGGGATTACAGCCTTCCAGGAATTTTCAATTTGTCAGGTAATACTGGGTCACTGGGACTCTTCTTCGCAGAGACGAATTCAAGAAAGAAATTGCAAGAGATGGCTCAGACAGAAACATACCAAAAATCACCTTGAAGGAGATCTCCGATAATGATGAAATAGGGGATGGAGAAGATTTGCAACTGCATTACGAGCAAATTTGTGAACTAGTGAGAAAAGTAGAGCTGTCTATCGATCGCACCATAAGATCAAATGTTGGAAGAAGAAAAAACACCAAACGAGATTACAACGTACCTGGTCAAACGTACAAAAAGAGGAATTGAAACCATGTGTTTCATTGAAACAAATGGTAAAGGCGCTTCTTTTTAAGTGCAATGGATGCCAGAAACAAAGGGTGAAGGGTATGCCATCACAAAGGGTTGCAGTTTTGCCAAGATTTAGAGCTGAATTTGCTTAACCATTCGCGACAACTGGAGTTGATTTCACCGGTCCCTTATACTACAAGGCAAACAAGAAGGAAGTCAAGAAGGCTTACATTGTGCTGTTTACATGCTCAAGCACCCGAGCTGTGCATCTTACCCTGTGCAAAGATATTACTACAGAGGAATTCAAAAGAACTCTGAAGTGGTTCGTTGTAAGAAGAGGCAAACCACACCTCATGGTTAGTGACAACGCAAAGACGTTCCAGGCAACAAAGAAATGGTGGGAGAGCTTGCAGAACAATGAAGAAATTAATGGTTTCCTAGCATCGCAATCGATCAAATGGGTATTCAACCTGTCGCGGGCTCCGTGGTGGGGCGGGTTTTTTGAGCGCCTAATTGGAGTTATGAAGTCAGCTTTTTCAAAGGTTATTGGGATTGCATTACTCAAATGTGCAGAGCTCGAAGAAACCTTGCTAGATGTTGAGTGCTTTATGAACAATAGGCCACTTACATACATTGGTGAAGAATTTGACAAGCAAATAATAACCCCATACATTATCCTTGCAAGCAGATGTTGCAAGGCGACTGAGGTACATGAAACGTTGCAAAGAGCAGCTACGGAGACGATGGATCAGCGAGTACTTGAATGCACTGAAGGAAAGGAAAATAACACAAGATGCATCTGAAGAGAACAAACTGAATACTGGCAGAGTTGTCCTGATCAAGGAAAGGGTCAATGGAAGATTGGTAGAGTTGAAAGTGAAATCATTGGTAGTGTTGGAGTTGTCCGAGGGTACAGAATACGCACAGGAAATGGCTACGTCGTCGAAAGACCATTACAGCCAATTGCAGATCTTGAGATTGGTGGTGACGTTCTATAGGAGAACAAAGACCAAAAAGGGAAGTGACCTGAACCCAGCAGCAGAGAGTTTGTACCACATGGTGGAAGCCGAAGAGTCGCAAAAGAAACTGCACTAAACAGAATCGTTGGTGTTCAACTGAATGAAGAATAAGGACTGATATTAAAGCTGCAGGTGCACTTTAATAGGAGGAGTGTTTGGTGAACTGGACCTCTCTAGTAACTTCTTAGTAATGCTTATAAGTAGAACACACTAGAAAAAGTTGACTAAAATAATTGTAGAAACTTCTAGAGTAAGCCTTACAAGATGTGATGTAAATGTGTCACAGGTGTCACTGTAATGCGTTTCACAGGGAATATAATTCAAACCAATGCGGCCTTGAATTCCCCACATGTGCAACATAGTAAATAAGAAGTGGACGATGCCAGCTTATTCATGCGAAGCGCATGGTTATGACACGACTCAGGATAGGTCTTCATGTTTTTGTCGTGCTGTAATGCTTGATGGCTTTCACTAGGGCTAGTTAAGCCGCATAACTGCTGATCGAGGTGCAACATCAAGATCGAACTGTTTTGTGTAGGCAATGTTACTGTGCAATTAGGAACAAGATTTTCTCACGTGAATGTTTAAGACGCAGGTGTCTAATATAGACTTTAAATTAACTCTACATCAGAATATGATAAATTCGCCAACATGAATTGAACTTTTGATAAGCATCACCAACATGCTTGCTTGGCACAATATTCACACGGAATACTATCTGATGAAAATAGAAAACGTTCATACGATCAGTCACTTGTCAGTAAATGTTTAGTGTGATGTCGAACTTTTCGCGGTTCATTTAGGTAGTTAAGTTTGTATCTAGATACATCAGTTAGTATCTATCTAAAATGGCTTTCCTATTTTCCTTTCCCTTAGTCGCTTCCTAAAATAACCGCAAACTTCAGTAAAGTCAGCAATATTCACGTTTTAATAATACTTCTCATGTGTACAGAAACGGTGATTTAACCGTCCGCTATGTCCTGCTCTTCCAGTCGCTTTTTCTACTCAGGCTTCACTTCAACCACCTTTTTGACAATATCCATAAACCCCATTAGTTCCATTCTGGGTACATTTGGGGTTTTTCTATCCCTTGATTCCAAGGGCTGGTTGGCAGGAAATGAGCATCTGTTTATTCAGCAATTGAATGACAGCACTAGTTGCATGGCAACAATCTTGAAGTTGACCTGCAGTTACATGATCCCATCACAAATTTCTTGTTACGAGCGACTTGATAAAATAACATTTGAAGCAAATATATAATTATATGTAGTAAATGTTAGACAAAGAAATGCTGTTTGGCGATAAACGATTTTGGCGTAACCAAAATAATTATATCTTGGAATCATTCGTTTATACAACAGAACATTTCCTACAGCACCAGCAAAACCATTTAATGTAGTTCAATCTTATATTTCATCTTTCTTCTTAATTTTATGTATCTATGTTGCTAAGGACTTCACCAAAATCAGTTGAAAATTTTTTAACTTTCCAATCATGCAATTGGGTCTTTTTTATTTAAATTGATTATGGCATCGTCATCTAATTAACCTTTTCGTTGAATTTTAGATTTTTGGATTAATCTTATACTGAAAAGCTATTCTGTAGATTTACTTTTAGTAAAATAATACTAAATCTCTGCAAGCATCGATGTTTGTGACACGTGCTCCCAACTACGAGTTTCTTAGTTCTTCCAAAGTTAAATTGATGACTTGCTTAAACAAGAAGCAGATGTTATAAACCGAGCAATGACCTCCAGCGGTAAGATTAAAAGCACCTTATTGGATTGGTGACAGTTGCGGTGAGGTGACGTCGTTTGTTGGACTTCATTCACAACGTCCTTTATTTTCATCCAATTTTAACTCTTAAGAAGATATTTAAGTTTAATAGACCACGTGTTCTTCTGATTACATAACAGCCTGTTGCCTGCTGCCTGTTAGTTCCGCGTAGTATGCTGTATAGTTTCACAGCTATTCCAAACTTTTTTTCACATATATGCAACTTTAAGCAACAGGTTCAAACGAGATCTGCTTTCAAATGCTCATATGTATTTTAGCTATGTTTTCCTCTGTCGGTAATTCGGTAATCTTTCTCAAATTGTACGGTATTTCGGTAATGAAAAAATTGGCGGTGAACGGTTTTTGTTGAATTCAATGCCCAGTGTGCGTTATTTGCAGTTTAGTTAGAAAGGTGAGATGCTAGTGGTAGAATCTTGTTGTATCCACGTTGAAACCTTCTTGATTTTTTGCCGATAAATCCAAAATTCTGAAGTTGCAACTGCAAATGTCCATGATTTATTTTCATATTATTTATAATTACTTTTTCTCTCTTCTTTTTCCTCCGAATCTTAAAAGACTAATATAAGCAGATTCGCTGGAGCCGGCTTTAGAGACCCACTTCTCGTTTTGCCCATATATCATATACAATAAGTCATATAAACAGTACACTCGACTTCAGGTGGGGACTTTTAGGAGAGGTTCCTCATTTTTGTCAATGGCATTTTAATTTGAAGTATCTGCTGTGTTAGCATAGGTCAAATTTCTTTAATTTTTGCTTTCCAAAACAGTACAATATTATCAAAATACATCCATGTTTAGCTTTTGTAATACAGATTGTGGTGTCTTCCTGATATATAAAAAGGAATGCCCA